TAACACAGATACTTTTCAGTCTCCATTTTAGTTTTTGAATGCCTGTCTAGCTAATGTTGAACATGTGTAGGGGAATAAGAATAGAGTGGAGAGAAGAATTGCATAACACTCCTCTGCCCAAACCCCCATGGCCCTCCAGGTCACTCACAATAAAAGCTAAAGTCCTCGCAGTGGTCTACAAGAGGCTACAAAGATTTGCCCCCTATTGGGAGACAATTTTCTGTGAATCTCTTACATGTCTGCACTTCTTGGAGCAGAGGTACTGACTGCCTTTGTTTGAACTATCTTTTCAAGGATGTTTATTTAACGAACAGCCTTGGATGACAGAATCTCTGCCTGGTGCAGGGGACAGGCTTGTTTACTGTCCAGTGTAATAATGTTGCCCTATGGGTCAAAGATCAGGCAGGTTTGCTTACAGTCTTTAGGAAGGATTTGGGTTCTCTAAGCTCTTGGGCTCTCAGCAGTGATGCAAACCCCCTATCGGGTAGCAGACACCTAGGCTGCTCTGTGTCACCCCCAAAGACCTGGGGGGTGGAGGGCAACTGGAAAAGACAAACATGAAGCTCAGGCTACTTGCTATGCTTCAGGTTATAAAATCCCTTGTCTCTGCCCCAGTCTTGTATCTCTGCCAGTATCCACAGAAATGTATCAGACTAAGTGGTTACCTTGCAGGTGAAGTCAAGTCTCAGCACCTTCCCAGTTGTTAACCGCCTACCCCACACCTCTCTCGCCTCATCTGCTATTCCTTCTCTTGTCATCCTGCCTGTTACTGAACCCTGCCAAGGACACTCCTGCCTCAGGGCCTCGGCACATGCTTTGCTGTCAGCCTGGAAGATTTTACTCCCAGATGTCTTTCATTCAGATCCTGTCCAAATGACTCCTCAATGGAGTCTTCCCTGACTACTCTATTTAAAATAGCCTTGCCACCAGTAAACAGGTGGACTTTTGCCAACCTGAAGGATAAAAATGGTATCTCAGTGTGCTTTAAATTTATCTTTTATTATTTTCTATGTCTTATAATGTCTACTATATTTCTGTTATTATTGTGCTGAAGAGCCATTTATATTTCCTTTCCTGTGAATTGTCTGGTCTTATCCTTTGCCTACTTTTTCTAACAATAGTTGGTCTTTTTCATATTAATTTTTCACTTGCTTTGGATGTGATTACACATTCTTTTTCTCAACTCATTATCTGTCTTTTGAGTTTATGGTGTCATCATTGCTGTCGTTTTAATGTAAAAGTTTCCTCTTCTTCTGTAGTTGAATTTATCAATCTTTTATGGCTTCTGTGTTTTCAATCAAAACCAGAAAGCTCTTCTCCATTCCAAGATGACAAGAAATTCACCCATGATTTCTCCTATTTTTCTAGTACATTTATGGTGCCATTTCAAAATACACAAACCTCTGAATCATTTGGAACTTGGTGTAGTGCGTGACTCACAAATTCAACTTGCAGGTCTTTTTGACTATTCAATTGTCCCCACCCTTTTATTATTTATTTATTTTTAAGCACATAATTGAAACATTTATTGAAAACATACCCTGGAAAACTTGCTAACATGCACGACAATGCCTCTTTCACCCATCTTAGAGGTGGGTACACTGTGGCCCGGGGCATTGGTCAACTTGCCCAAGGCTGGCCAGCTGGTAAGTACAGTTTGCAGATCTCTTGAGAAACTGTCTGTGTGCTCCCTCCTGCCTCTCAAGCCCCTCAACCATACTTGTGGTTTGGGACACCCCCTATTATACCTCTTGCAGCCAGACTTCCATCAGGACCAGTAATCCAATGCATTGGCTTGCACTGGGGGAACCCTGTGCCTTCAGGATGTACACATTGGGGTCCCAAGCCCTATGGACACAGTTCCCCTGGTTTAGCCAAAGCTGGTGAGAAGCCTCAGCACATGGCCTGATCCCTTTCTGTGTCTGGGCAGGATTCATACTGTTTTAATTACTGAGGAGCTATAATATGTTTTAATATTTGATATTGCTAGTTCCTCCCTCCTTGTTCTTCTTTTTCAGAGCTTGTTTCCTGACTAGTGTTTTTATTTTGCCATTTGAATTTTAGGAACAAGTAGGGTAGTTTAAAACACACACACACACACACACATATTCTATTAATCTCATTAGTACTTTTATGGAGTTACGTTAAATTTAAACTTTACTTAAAGAGAATTGAGAGCTTTGTGCTAGTGTCTTCCTATTCAAAAATGTCATGTTCATCTTGCCATTTGACTCGATTTTCTTATTTATAAAATGGGAGCAATATGAATTTCATAGAATTAAATGAGAAAATGCCTGTGAAGGACAAAATAGTAGATGCCAACGTATTGCTTTGCCACTTTGTAGCCTATGAGCTTGGGTTTGGTTACTAGACTATTCTGAGCTCATTTGTAAACGGGATAATAATAGCATCTGCTTCATAGGACTGTAATGAAGGTTAAATGAGATGAGGCATACCAAGTACTCAGTGCACTGCCTAGAACGTAAGTACTCAAAGAATACTAGCTGTTCTTCTAAAAGGCAGGCTATCGCAGGGCAATGCGACTTAAAGCAAAAGCTTGCAGGGATCCACCTTAGGGCCAGTGTTCTCAGGCCAATTCTTCTTTCCGAGAACCTACCTAACCGTGGGTCGCCACTTCCGACTTTCCCCGTGCGCCTGGGAAAGCAGTCGGATTTAAAGCAGCGATCCGACTGCCTAGGTTCACCGCGAGACTCCAGGATGCTACTCCCACTCCATAGGCGCGGCGCTGCCACGTCTCGCGCGTCCTGTGCTCCGTCAGGGAGGAGGCGTGGCCAAGCCGGGCCCGCCCCCGAGCGCTCTTCGTCACGTCAGAGGCCCGCCCCTCCGCGGCCCAAGTCGCTTGTAGGGCGCCCCCGGTTGCAGAGCGCCGTGACGCTTCGACGGGGCGGGGGCAAGCACGCGCCCGGAAGTCCCGGGGGAGAGGTGTTACGTATATCCGGCGAGGAGCTGGCGGTCCCGGGTGCTGCTGGGCTCTGTGCTCTGAGGGAGGGTCGAAGCCGCCCGCCGCCGCTGGAGGAGTCCCTTGGGCTGTGAGTCGGGCGGCCGAGGCGAGGGAGGGAGCCGGGGTCTCAGGGACTGGGGCAGACAGCGGGAGGGTCGGGGCGGAGGCCGGTGCAGGCGGGGTTGGGGGGGAAGTGACACGCAGGCGGTTCTGTGGGGCCGCGGGGATGGTTCTGGGCGGGGATGGGCCGACTTAGCCGGCTCTGCTCGGTCCCCTGCCGGTTTCTGGGGTATCGGGTTGATCTGCATTCCGCTCGGGGGTCTTGCAGCTGCTGGGCAGGATAACAGTTTTGTCTGCTACTGTGTGCTCGGGTTTACGAAACGGCCTCAACAACCCCATCTCGGATGAGCCTCACAGCCGTCGGTGAGGTTGGTGGGAGACCTTGATGAGAATCCTTGTTTCACAGACCCGGGAGCTAAGCCTCGCCGAGACTCAGTGAACTGGCCAAGGCTCCACAAATAGCAAGTGTGAGCGTTCGAACCAGTTCTCCTGGCTCCTAGTACAGGGCCTCCCCCCCATCCACTTCAGTTATCATCTGATGTCCTCGGCCGAACCCCGTATTTTCTCCTTCCACCTTCCTCTTCCCGCCCCGCTTCAGTGCATGGAAAAAATTCTGCATGCTCGTTGGGTATATTGTAGATTAATGTTCTCGTCACGATTCTAGCCGAGAGGTCAGGAGCACACTTGTGAGCGTAGGCACTAAATTGCCCCTGCCAGTATTCTCCCTTGCTCTTGTCTGTTCTCCTTTACCTTGATCCATCTGCTTTGGTTGTGACGGGGTGGGGGGTATGGAGCTTTGCAATGGGACTAGCCTTTGACAGACCCTGCAGCTAAGCAGGTTTCATAGCTAAAAGCCAGCTGACTGCATGCTACCCCAGATCTGTCTGAAATGGTGTCTCAAAGTTCTGAGTATGTAAAGACGCAATGAGTATATATAAGAAATGATGCATAGATTCTTTATTGGGCAGTGGTCACCCTAGTGCTTTTCCTTTTTGTTTGTTTGATCAGTCAGCCCTGAAATGGGCAAATTTTTGTTTGGGGTACATTGGCAATGCTCTTGTTGGTAGTTTAGAGCCCTTAAATTTTAGACTAGTCTAATTTGCTGTAAGGTGCCATAAGGCGGTAGAGTGGATCAAGGATAGAAAATAAATAAGATGCTAGTTATTAACATTCCATTCAAAAGGTATTATGTGTTGTAAGGAAGGAAACTGTAAGATTATCATCTGTGTAGTTGGTGGGTTAAAGAAGTTTTATATTTTTTTAAAATCAGTTTTGTGATTTTGATTTGAATTTTATGTGATATTAACAGGAAGAACTGTGGCCTTGGAGTTAAAAGAGGAGGGTTTAAGTCTGGCGCTGTTTCTTAGCTGAGCAGCCTTGGTTGAGCCAGCTAACCCAGGAATGTCAGCATCCTTATCTTGTTAAATGAGGCCAAGGATTTCCTGGGTAGGGTTGGTGTGAGATTGAAGTGAGATGTATGTGCAGGCACCATAAACTGTAAAACTACTCATGATGGAGTATACTTACAAATCCTAAGATCTCAAGAATGGAGGCAGCATCAAAGCCATTTCCTTAACTTTGGCTAACAATGCAACACAACTCTTTGTGTCCAAGAAGGGTTTTTATTATTTTTTTAACATAGCCTGAAGAGTTTCTTTAAGCACTTATTTTGGCGGGAAGAATTATAGGACCTTGAAAGCAGGTATGTCAAGGGAAAATAAATTGGAAAATCATAGTTCAGTTACCATGAAACATTCCTTGAAGTGGGGTTTTCCCCTTGTCAGCTGGTGAGAATTCATCTAGTTGGAAATACTTCTAAAATGATGTGGTAAAATTTTACAAAGAGTCTGTCAAGTACTGACTGCAAACCAGTGTAGTGCAAATAAATGCATAAGTGTTGGGTTTTAAAGGAGTGATCAGGGTGGAAGTGACCTAAATGAGAGGTGCTTTGTAAAGGTAAGCTGCACTTCTCCAAGCGGTAGACAGACGGTAGGGAGGGATAACTGGTTTGTGGGGATTGCAGAGGAGTGGCACACTGTTCTTTTACTTACCTACCTAGTGGAAACTTCAGCACAGGAGCTTTATAAATATATTGAAGTCACTGGTTTCTTAAAGTGCAGACCAAGTTTCCAGACAAAACTGTTAACCTAACATGCTAAATTTGTTCTTCTGCCACAGTATATTTTGAAGTTACTGAAAGGGCGGAAAACCTTATTTGGTGTCTTTTTACAAAAGCTTCAGTCTCTACCCTCACTCTAACTCCCAAACTTCATTTGGCCCTCCATGGTAACAGCCATAGAAAATAAGCATTAAGCAGTCCCTAAAATTTATGAGTCAGACCACAGGCCTGATTTAAAAAACAAAACAAAAACAGTAATTGGATGAAAAAGATTAACATACGCTATCTTCTTCCAATTTCTTCATTTAACATTCTTTGAAGAATATAGGTGGTTTTTTATGAACCCTTTTGCGGGTCACTAGTAAAAGTAACAAAACTAAACTTTGGTTACTTTTTTGAAAAAAACAAACTTTATGAAAGTTTTGTTTGAAAGCAGTTGGTCACATCTAGTATAAATAGCCTTGTGTTCACATGCTTTTGATGATGGACAGGAGTGAAAGTGGCGGATCTTGCCCTTTTTTTGCACCAAATCTGAGATAATGAGTCAAAAATTCACTGTGACTAGGAAATGCTGCCACTGAGAAACCTTAACACCCACTGCTGGCTCTAGATCCTCCTATCTTAACTTCATTCAGAAGTCCTCTTGTTTATTACCAATGTATGTAGATCTTTTTGTAGCTTTGGATCATCTTTTGCTTTGTCTAGGCCTATGGGAAACAGTAGAAAGAGTGGTGTTACTATCAGTACAAATTAAGGTATGTACTTGACTAGGAACCTACTACAGTGTCCTGAAGAAGTATTGTAAGAAAACCCATATTTGAAAAATGGTTAGGTCTTGATTATTCACATTATGAAAGGGTTATCTTCTTACTGCTTCATATCTCTCCAAAATAGTGATATTATCATCTCTTTTATAAGTTGAGACACATCTCTCCAAGAGGGGTTAAACACATATTGTTTAAAAAGAGATAGCATTGATAGATGCAGCAGGGCAAATTGTGCCAGTCAGAAGGATTTTGGTGACTGTGTTTTTTTAGACCAGTTTACAAGGATGGGTTAATACGGTTTTCATTCTGGTTAGTATGCACTTTTTTCATTCTTATTTTCTACTCAGTGCATCAGTGTGACATTTTGATCCAGATTATTGATGGTACTAATTCTGTAGAGATTTTGCTAACTGGTAGACAGCAGTGGTATATATAGGGAATGTGAATGAGCAGCTGACTGGAGGAGTGAGTTACACAGTAAAAGAAGTACTACTATATTTTGCCATGTATAATGCGTACTTTTTTGTCAAAATTTGTGAGAGAAAAATAAGCATCATACATGGGTAGTACTAATTCCGTATCTATGAAAATGTTTTTAATTCTTTTATTTATGCTTATGAGTTAAAGGTGTAATTCTAGAAATTAATAATGATACCTGTATGCAAAATAATAACCTAGAAAATGATAATCAGTTTTGTTGAACTTACAACCATTGTTTTTGACTAACTTGCAACCACAAAGAGTTCTTGGCCTTCTATGAGGCTTAAATATCGTAAATTTGTTACCAGTACATAAAATTTCTTGTACCTGTATCTGTTATTGTGTTTTGTAATTATTTGTTACATAAAATTTCTTGCACTATAACATGTTAAAAAATAAACGCTAAAATTCCTTTATAATACAAAAAAACAAGTACCTAAAAGTAAACAAATAAAAATTTGAATTAAATTAAAACGAAATATTTTTTTTCCCTGAAAGTTTGGGCCAAAAATGTGGGTGCCTGTTATACACCGGAGCACATTATACATGGCAAAATATTGTATATCATCAGCTCCTGGTCCTCTGAGTATTATAGTTTGAAAACTGTTAGAAAACCAGGAATTTGTGCAGATATGAGATCCCCCAGAGACTTCCCTCCAGAGTGCAAAATGCTTTGTTTTATTATGCCTGAAAACATGAGACTGTAAACATGCATCAGGGTCAGGGAATAAGAGTTAACTTCTCCAAAACTGTACTAGTGTTCAGAATGCTAATCTTTGCTGCTTTCATATTTTATACAGGTAGTAAGCATTAATAATGTCTTTCATCTTTGAGTGGATCTACAATGGCTTCAGCAGTGTGCTCCAGTTCCTAGGTAAAGCCGTTTTTCTTGAAATATATCATATGTTTTAAATTTTCTGCATTTCCTCCAACAGTTTAAATACAAGCAGCTTGTAGTATGCAAAGAGCAAAATTATGTTAAATTTTTTTTTTTCTGTCTTAGGACTCTACAAGAAATCTGGAAAACTTGTGTTCTTGGGTTTGGACAATGCAGGCAAAACCACTCTTCTACACATGCTCAAAGATGACAGATTGGGCCAACATGTTCCAACATTACATCCAAGTAAGTTCGAAAATACCAGCTGACCTTTTGCTATTTAAAGGTCAATGTCGGGGTTGGAGGATGAACCCCTAATTTATGCAGTTCTTTCATTAACTGAAGTTCCAAAGGACAGCTCACTTGAAAAAAATTACAATACACTCAGGTCACAGACTCATAAATATAAACCTCTGGTACTTTATCACTATCTTTTCTCACAAGTCCTGTAATAGGACACATCTGTCATTTCTACTTCTAAGCAACAACAGATACCTTGGAGAAAAAGAAACTTGGCCTTTTAAAATAATTTAATAATGTTTTCACACTTGTATTCTTTTATTTACAAGGTGAAAGCTTCATTAAGTTTTGCTTTCATATTGGCTTACAGTACTGGTAGCTGGGCCTTGTTGGATGGAGAATTTATTTCTTTCCTCTCTTTCAATAATTTTTCAGCATCAGAAGAGTTGACAATTGCTGGAATGACTTTTACAACTTTTGATCTTGGTGGGCATGAGCAAGGTAAGAGATAATTCAAAGAAAAGATGGTATTGACTTACAGTTCATTTTGTGTCCCTCCACTTTTTTCAAAAATCAGTGTGTCATTTTTACCTTTTAAATTGCTTGCATTTAGGATTGAGATCTTATTACTATAAGGAAGTTGGTTTATTCATTTATTATTTTTAAGTAATTTCCAACTTGTCACAAATTGCATAAATAATAGAGAACTCCACTTCTTTATACCTTTTGCCCAGATTTGTCAGTCTCCGTCTGTATATAATACTTATTAACATTTATTTTTCTTGAACCATTTGTGACTTGCTCTTTTATTTCTTAATACTGTAATGTATATTTCCTAAGAAAAAAAGAGTATTCCCTTATATGGTTGTAATCATTATCAAACCCAGGAAGTTTTATTTTTATCTACTCTGTAGTGTATATTCCTCTTTTTGTCAATTGTCCCAATAATCTTTATAGCATTTTCCCTTTTAAACATGATCCAGTACAATAGCACATTGAATTTAATCATATCTCTTTTGTATCCTTTATTCAATGGAATATGTGTAGAAAATTAAGTTGTTATTTGTAATTCCAAACTTGTCAAAAGTTGCAAAAATAATATAGTGACTACTTGTGACCACTCTGATCTAAATTGATATTTTGTGTACTGTACCCATTTGGGTCAGTTGGTGGAACATTTTCTTCTACCTTCTTGTTCTCCACGGTGCATTTTGCCTTACTCAGGCGGCGTCTGTTTGGTTCCCAGATCCCTGTCAGTTGTCTTGTATGTGTTTTAGAGATATACAGAATGGAGCACCTTTATCTGATGGACACTCACTTTACATTTGGCTAGACTCTAGGCTAAGGAGTAAAACATTTGCAATGTGGGAATAAAAAATATTCTGGGAAGGGAAAGAACCTATTAAGATTCTTTCAGATTTACTCATTTGTTATTAAATTGAGTTGAGAAGTTTCCTTTTGCAGCATTATATTAGGTTGAATCTAATATAGTTTTTTTAGAGTTTGGTTAAAAGATAATATATTGGTCATTTTAATCATTCAGCCAAAGAAATTTTAGCCAAAAGGCTGAGAAGCGATTGAAATAATTTTAGTCAGTGATTTCATTAACATGTAATTACGTTTGTTTTATTCATGTAATATTTACATGCTATAAAGTCATATATATATAGTATGATCACAATCACATATAATACCTGTACAGAAAAACTGTTGAAATAAAATACACAAAAACATTAGCAGTGGGTGTGTTTTAATGAAGGATTATAGATTATCTTGTTTCCTTTTTTTCTATAACGAGCTTGTATTATTTTCATTTGGGTAGCATTGGGCAAATGGTGTCTCTTACTCTTTCAAAAAGATGTGTAACTGCATACAAATTTAAATTCAGCAGTAATGCAGTCATGAGCTGAACTGAGACCCTTAGGGGAGTGTAGAGCAGTAGGTATTTTTAGAAACCTGAACTGGGAATTATGTATCATTTGGTTTGATAATTTAGCTTTCAGGTTTTGATACAGTAAAAAGGAAAGTGTGTTTTGTGTACATAGTTTTATTTGAGGAAGATTAACAGAAACATATTTTTATAATAACCTAGCCACCATTATACAGAAGTTACTAAAATGCTGTCTATTCAGAAGTTTCCCTTTTTTTTTTTTTTAAATATACAACTTTAAAAAACCTCTAACTTATAAAAGTAGTCTACACTCAATGTAACAAATTTGGTATACAGTCAGTGTATGACTAAGGAAGGTAAAAGTAAAAGTTGCCCCAACCTCTCCTTCCCGGTCCCACTCTTCAGAGGTAACCATTATTAACTATGGTATAGAGATGCTTTCTTATTCATCCCATTAAAAGGAGTAGAAATGAATGGCTTGGAAATTATAATATAATGAAAGCATTGCTTCCTAAACCATTGTGACTTCATGTCATAAACAAAAAAATAAAATTGGGGCGGCCAGTTAGCTCAGGTGGTTAGAGCACAGGCTCATAACACCAAGGTTGATGGTTCGATTCCCATATGGGCCACTGAGCTGCGCCCTCCACAACGAGATTGAAACAACTACTAGACTTGGAGCTGATGGGTCCTGGAAAAAAACACTGTTCCTCAAGAAAAAAACAAAATAAAATAAAATTTATAGGCACACCAGATTAGATACAGGAGACTGAAGTGATTAGCCTTGGAACTTCAACCACCTGTCAGGCCCAGTCTCCCTGAGGGTTGAGCAGATGAGCGTGTCAGTACACTCACACATGGGTTAGTGAGGAACTAGCTTGGGACTAAGGTTACATGGGTAAGTAATTTGCATCATGGTGGTGTAACTTAGAGGTTACAAACTAAAATAGCTCCAAGGACAAGGTAGGTGATTTAAGTGAGTGAAATTGGGAGTGAGATAGTAGGAAGTCGTGGAAACTTTGGCAGATGGAAGAGCCCAGACCTCATCTAAAGGAGCTGCCACTGCTCAGGTCCAGTTGCCTATTGGCAGGTGGGTAGGTAGGCACGAGATTGCAAGATGTTGCAGTTTTTCAAAAAACCATGCAGAAATCCTGGTTTTCGAATTTCACAAAACTTGATTCAGTTCATGGATCATCAGTTTATACCTTCTGCTCTGACTTAATAATGGCTAAGAGTTGGAAAATCATATGGAGTTGACTGCTGTTGAAACCTGGCCAAGATTTGCCCACTAGGTAGACTGTCAGGTTATTCATTTTCAAAATATGTGTATTTTTTATTGATGTAACTACAAACTTTGTCTTTTTAGCACGTCGGGTTTGGAAAAATTACCTCCCAGCCATTAATGGGATTGTTTTTCTGGTGGACTGTGCAGATCATCATCGCCTCATGGAATCCAAAGTGGAACTCAATGTATGTTTATATTTTTTTCCTTTCTTGGCCTCTATTTCTTTTTAAGCAATACCGCTCAGTAGTGCCAATACTTAATCATTCCAGTTAACATTTGATGAAAGTCCTAGTTATGGGAAGAAAGTGTTTTAAAATCTACAACATTGCATTTCAGTGTCCTAAGGAAACTCAGCTTGAACTTGAGTAAATTAACTGTGTGTATAGCTGTCATAGGGTGACTCTGTGTTTGCTGGGACACACCTCAGTTTATGCCTGTTTAACATAATTAACATTATTCCCTTTCACATATCACATATGGCCACTCTTTATGAGGTGTTGGCATAGTGAAACCTTAAAAGAGTTCTTTACATTTTGAATTTGCCTTCTCAGTTGTGCCTGTCCACCCTTGTACTAAATGACTTGCCAGACCTTAAGAGTCTGTTTTCGGTCTTTAGTTTTGGTCACATGCAGTGATTGATACTATCAAGGACTAGCTTCAAGTTTTTTTCCTTCCTCAACATTGTATTTTCTTGGCTTGACAATTCGTATAATGTTGTCATTGTTATCCCTGCTGCTTTGCCCTGTGCCTCTTCTTTCTCTTTGATTTATAATCATCTCTCTGCATTCCTGCTTCTGGAAATTTGAACCTGTCTCAGTTTTATTTGTCAATATGTTTTTTGAATCTATACTCAAGTCTCATGTAGAATCGCCTGTAGGGCAGTCCTTCCCTTACTTGACTTTTTGGCACTGGTCGTTCTCTCTCTTTAAACTCTCTTTTACATGTTTGGTTTTGGTGCTCTCTCTCCCTAGCTGATGCTTCCCAGACTTTTTCACATGTACCTGTTCCTCTGCTTAGCCCTTAAATCTTGGTGTTCCCCAGGGTCTGTACTTTCTGCTAAGCTACACCTGTTGCTTCATCTGCCACCCACATGCCAGTGACTCCCAAATGGATTTCTCTCTTCTAAACCTCCCTTGAGTTCCAGCCCCATACAGAATGCACTAGACAACTCCATCTACCAATTTTATTCTTTCAGAATGGAACTATTCATCTTCACCACCATGTACATCGACATGCAGTCCAGAACCCTGTGAATTACTCTAGATTACACCACCATCCTGCCACATACTGTAATAATGCTAGAAGTTATTTCCTTAGACTTGTCATTGCCCTACTTAATATCCTCTAATAGATCTCTATCACCATCAGGATAAAGTCCATAAATCTTTGGTATAGCACGTAAGATCTTTCATGAGTTTTCCTCTATTCTTCCAGCTTATTTTATCTCTGCTGCCTACATTTCAGACATAGAGAACAACTTGCCCTTCCTTAGGTATGCAGAAGTAGCTGTTTCTGCCAGGCTTTCTCACCTGACCCCGTGCCCCTTTTTGCTGGTAAATTTCAAATGTCCTTTAAGAGATCTCAGTTCAGGTATGACCACTTCTAGGAAGCCTTCCCTGACCTCTCAGACTGTTAGACTTTCCACCTTATCAGTGTCTGTTGCTTCTTTACTGGTTTTCTTACAGGGCTCCCTCACTAGACTGTACTGAAATGACAGAGACCTTATCTTGTTTCTGCGTGAAACTTCTGCACTAGCAAAGCATCGGTCACATAGTAGGCACTTTGTTAGAATGAATGACTTTCTTAATCTGATTTTGTCTAACATTTCCTGGAACTTAAGGTGATCAAAGTATGTTGCCCTTTATCTGTTCAACTTTAGTCTCCTTTCCTGGCTTTTCCTGACAGTGGGAACTACAGTCCCAGTGCAATATTGTGATTTATAAGAAATATATATTTGGTCATTCAGATGATCAAAATATATTTCACATCCATATGTGGTTTTCATCCACAGTTCCTGTCATACAGTTCCCCAAATCCTTGGAATTTCCTGAGAGGAGAGCCACAGAAATGTCTTTTGTTATGTTAATGAGGTGGCCCTTGGGCCCCATCTAAGGATGGGGGTTGGTTACCAGGAGACCCAACCTTTAGAGGTTGGAACTTTTAGCCCCACCCCAGGACCTCTAGGGAAGGGAGAGGGGCTGGAATCAGTTGCCAGTGGCCAATGATTTAATCAATTATGACTAATAAAGCCTCCATAAAAACCCAGAAGACAGGGTTCAGAGAGCTTCGGAGTTGGTTAGCACAGATTTGGTGAAGAGTGGCTCACCTAGAGAGGGCATGGATGCTCCGCACTCTTTCCCAGTGCCTCGCCCTGTGCATCTCTTCCATCTGGCTGTTGCCTGAGTTACATCCTTTTACAATAAATAAAACAATAATCTAGTAAGTAAACTGTTTCACTGAGCTCTGTGAGTCGTTCTAGCAAATTACTCAAATCCAAGAAGGGGATCGTGGGAACCTCTGATTTATAAGCCAGTCAGTCAGAAGCACAGGTAACAACCTGTACTTGCGGCTGGCATCTGAAGGGGATGGGGGCAGCCTTGTAGGACTGAACCCTTAACCTGTGGAATCTGATGTTATCTTTGGGTAGATCGGGTCAGAATTGAGTTCAATTGTAGAACACCCAGCTGGTGTCCCGAGAATTGCTTGTTGGCTGGGGAACCTCCCCTACATTGGAATTGGTACCAGAACCAATTTGAAATCCCTGCCAGCTTTGACTCCTCTTTGTCTCTCCTGTCATTTACACTTCAGCCTCTTTATTTCTTACTCCAGATGCCTGCTGCACTTTTTCTTATATGCTGCCATGGTAGGCCAGGTCATTGTCTCTTTCCTGAGCACCACAGATAGATACTGTTGGTGAGCTCATCGTGCTAGAAGTATAGATGCTATCTAGTAAGTTCTGTTTTTGGGGTTGTTAGGATCTATTACAGCTAACCTCTCAGACGGGCATCATAATATTGGTCACCCCTCCCCTTCCCACTTAACATGTCAATGTAAATGCTGTAATCCAGGCAGGTGATACTCTGTGCAGCTTCCTGAATCTTTTCCTACTGCAAAGCCATTGCTTATACTCTCCCTTCCCCTTTCCACCTATCCAAACCCTGCCCCTCCTCCAGAGCCCCGTTTAGGCTCCACATCTTTGCTAAGACTTTCCTCAAGCCCATACATGTTACCATTTTATTTTCCTGAATATCTTTTAGTGTTCATCTTCTGTCCTGATTCATTGTGACACTTAATCGTCCACTTGCCTTGCTTTTTTTGATAGATGTGTGAACATACACAGTGAGGATTTCTTGAAGCCAGGGATGTGTCTTACCTTTCCTTTTATATCTCTCTCAGTACTGGAGACAGTGCTTTGCACACATTGGGAACTCAGTGAATACTTGGGGGGTTTCTGTACTCATTTCTGAGGCTCTGTAGCCATAGCACTCATGCTTCTAGGACTGTGCTCAGTGGATAGCCTGAGGATGGTCTGGGGCGGAGGGACTTAGCTCAGAGTGAACATTGGAGTAGTTCTGCTGCCTAGTAAATAGATACAGCCTTAAGTTGCAATTGTTTTGAGGGCATTAGGGGATTTTTACCTAATGCCAGGGTATTTTTAGGGGCGTTTTACCTAATAATAAGGGTGTTATATAATGTTAAGATTAACTTAGTTAATCACTCAGGTATAAAAATGATCAGATTTTTTGCTTTACATTTGATACTTACAGACAAGTGAAAGTCAAAGTGGCTTTTATTATCTTGTGGCTTTTATAGATTCCTCACTTCATGTCTTGTCTTCAGGCTTTAATGACTGATGAAACAATATCCAATGTGCCAATCCTTATCTTGGGTAACAAAATTGACAGAACAGATGCAATCAGTGAAGAAAAACTCCGTGAGATATTTGGGCTTTATGGACAGACCACGGGAAAGGTAAGAGAAGAATCTTCAGGGGCCATACTCCTGTAAAGGAAATTCACAGCTTTTAAAACACTCATGTTTTGCTATCTAGATTTTACTTACCTTTCTAAAGTTTAACTGGGCTTAGGATTTGTTTCATTTAGGTAATTTGTAGACTCTTCTGAAGGTAGGAACGTGTTCTTTCTAATGTGATACATTCTTCAGGTATATGAAGATAAAGGAAGTAGTACAAAAGGCAAACTTAAATATAAAAATTTTCTGTCTTTCAAATTCAATTCTGAGAAATCTCTTTTAAAAGAGCTCCTTTTAACCAGAAATTAATTTTTTTATTTTTAATTTTTTTTACTGGAGATTTCAGGTTATGAAGAAGAGTGATCATTTATATATATCACTTTCCAAGCATTGAAATCAAAGCAGTTGGTCAACCTCAGTGCTTGTTGCTGAGAGAGGTTGGACTGTTATCCCCGTTTTGAAGATGAGGAAACTCAGAGAGTGATTTGTTAGGTCTACACAGCAAGTCAGGACCAGGAATCGAAGCCAAGTCTTCTAGATCAATATGTTAATGTTGTCTCCAGCTGGAAGGAGGACTATTGCAGAAAAGCATGTTTGTTGAGAGAAAAAAGTCTAGATCAGCTATAATTAAGCAGGAATCCTGGCTTTTCATCTCAGGCTTGTGTATATTTAAAAATTGTTTCCTTTTGGGGGAATCTATGATAACTTTTTTACTTCTTTACATGGCTCCTTAGTCTTGCCTCTTGGTTACCTATTTCTTTCCAGAAATGCTTTCTTTAATTCATTAAGTTACCCCTCTTCTGCATGAGTGTTAGATACAAATGAATTCTTAGTTTCCTCAGTGTAACCTGTTACTAATGTATATTTCTGAATGCTTGCATTAATGAGAATGTCCTTATTTCTAAAAACTCCCTGACTTCTTTTGTCCATCAGAGCGCGCTGGTTCTATGGGTGCCCGCGGCCTTTTTCTTGGTTCGCTGCATTGCTGGTCAGGTGAATATTGGTGTGTTCAGAGCAAATGCTCTTCACACACACACAGAGAGAGAGAGAGAGAGAGAGAGAGAGAGAGAGAGAGAGAGGCGAGGAATAGGACTGTGCTGCTTATTCTATCCTGAAATCATGAAGCCCGGGGAAAGTCATCCGTGTGGCCTTGACCACATTTCTGTAATGAATCCCTCCTTAGATTTGCTTTTGAAAAAAGGAGAAAGTGATTTTTGTGATCACCCATTCAAGCTTTTCTACCACGGCGATGCTAACAGGCCCTTCTTGGTTTTGTCTCCCTTAGGGGAATGTGACTCTTAAGGAGCTGAACGCCCGCCCCATGGAAGTGTTCATGTGCAGCGTGCTCAAAAGGCAAGGCTACGGCGAGGGCTTCCGCTGGCTCTCCCAGTATATTGACTGATATTTGGACAGTGAGAATAAGAGTTTGACTTCTCTGGACTGATCCTATTCACAGCTTCCTCATGAACTTTTCTAATAGAACAAGGAAAGCTCTCCAACCATGTCTGGCGTTGAGAAGCCAAGAGTCTCTGTCAGCTCTCATCGCCCAGTGGTGACATGTGCTCTTCTCCACACTGTCGGGAGGTAACGCTGCCCCACGTGCTGGTGCAGGTCAGCATCCCGGGACTTGGAAGCTGGCAAGATTTGCCGGGTAAAGCTGTGTGCCATCATGGGCTACCTGATAAGAAAAACACGTCTCACCACTGTGGTTGATTTCAAAAGAAAGTGATTCTATTTTTTAAAGAAAGTGTTGTTAATGTAATTGGTTTCCCTCCTAACTTTTTAAGTTTACAATTTACTTGGTCCAGAGTTTTCTATTCCTTTTTTTTTTTTTTTTAAATCTAGTGAATGGCATTTAGATACTTCATAAAATTATGCACAGATACATATTGGAGGCCACACCTCGGTCAGGTGAACTTATTCCTGTTGAGTTAGCAGGTTGGTGAGAGAAGCTCCCCTGTCTGGGGAGCTGCCTTGGAGTAGGTGACATCACCTTGTACGCAGAGAACTAAGAAAGGACAGAGCCCTGGCCTCATAGTTGCAGCAGGTGTCCACTGTGGCAAGCTAGGGTTATTCCTTATCATGGAGTGTATAGCAGAGGAGTGAATTACAGAGTGGGTCATTATTATTAATGTAATCACTTAAACAGTTACGAATTTCAGCCGGTCTTGCTTTTAACTCTTGTGAAGTTTCATTTTTCTCTGTAGCACTTTCTCTTATTTTCAGTTATACAAAATGACTTTCGCCTCATAGAAGAGTTGAGAACATCTCCCATGTTGTCATATACTGCAGGTGTGTGTCAGTTCCTTTTGCACACATTCTAGGGGGAATATTTCTGAATAGGAGAATCACACAGGACAAAGTTAACAGTCTAAGATTCTTAATTCTGTCACTTGAGAACTTAAAAATCTGGTATTTTAGCATTTGGCAAAGTCTGGGAAAGATTTACTTAGTGGGCCTTAAGTTTTCCCCTTGCAGAATTTGGTCTATGTACTGGACTGTTTATAAGCTCTTTTAATCAAATTTTTTTTGGTCTTTAAAGGTTAACATCTGTAGCTTTTCCAGGTTTTTTGTTTTGTTTTGTTTTTTTGGTACGAAATTGCCTTTCTCCATTCCAGAAATAAGCTGGGGAAACTAATCCAAGAATTTTGTGTAGGGCTATTATTCCTATTGAGCCAGCATCCCTTATTGTCAGTAAGCACCCAGTACAAAAGCCTTAGCATCCCCAGTAGTGTGATGAGGATTGTTTTTGTAGCTTTCCATTTTCTTAATGTCATGTGTGAAATTGGATTTTCATGTTCTTAACCAGTTTTCTACCCTTGCAGAAAAAGGTGATGGGATAGGAGATGGTCTTAAAATGGGAAGGTATCTTCATTTTTCCTTTAATGAAAGATTAGAGGTAGTATCCTCAGAATTGAAAATTGTGATGATGATACTTATTTGTAGAGGATTCAATTCAGTGGATTCTTGCTTCTAATGTGAGGGTAGGGAAAGTATGGATAACGTACTCCGGGGGTGAGAGAATATTGTTCTTCAGCTGGATTTCTCATTGTTAGTCTTCAGTACTGACCTGTGGGGAAAGCATACCGTTTCACTGCCAGGTACCAGACGCGGAGGCTCAGTGCAGTATAAGTCTGGGAAGAGCATGACTTTATTTATGAGCAAGCATAGCTGGATTAAGACAAAATTGTTCATTTGGAAAGGGGTTAAAGCCTTAAGTGAATAAATCTAGCTAAAGGTGAGAGAATTAGGTAGTTAACTTGCATACTTTCAATTTTCTATGGCTAAAGATAACCCATGCTTCTCTATCCAGAGACATGAGAAGTATGATTGCTTCAGTGTTAGTTTTTCTTGCTGTTGTTTCTTCCCTAATCACTTTGTAGCAAGCCAGAAAACTGTAGATTCTATGCAGGGCAGCTCTTTGTGAAAGTGGCTTATTTTGGCCACTGGAGAAAGAGGGGATTGAAAAGTCCAGTAGCACCAGTCTATTTCTTGCCCCACAGAAAACACTGGTCCTATAATAACATAGTGGAAAGAAGCTGCTGTGAGGAGCTCGGCTCCTAACAGTGAGGATCAGAGCTTTGTACAGGAACTCCCATGAATTGAGACTTTTCATTCTGTTTATCAGAGTGCATATATGTCCTATTTCAGGAAAAGTAAAACCGTCATTTACAAAAGAAAGTCAATCTGTATCCTAAGCATTTTAATAAAAAGTTAAAACAAACTTGTTGTCTTGCTTTTTTTTTTGTTTTTGCATTGGTTCTGAGTTTGAACATATGATGACATATTTTACGCAGGAAAAGCAAAAAAGTTTCCCTACTTATGGGGAGAAATATGTACAATGGATGTGAGACTTAAAATTTGCTACCAGAAAAAAAAAAGGTTGAGGTCAATTCACATATTCCACTAGAATTAATAAATTTAGTACTGTTTGAGAGCTTTGGTGGTCATCTCTGCGACAGGTTGGACATGGCAGACTTTTGAACAAAATCATATTAATATGCTAGCAAGGACTGGATCCAGACTAGTTGTGTATCACTCATCATTTTATACAAAATTGGAGAGATCCAGTTGAATGCTACATTTGGCAAAATATGGGAAGGAATGAAACCTGTGCTTGTGCATTTACTAGGCTTGTAGGAAGGCCTGCTTTTAGAAAACCCCAAATGAGATTCGAAAACGAAAGTACTGGGACAAATAGAATGGGAAGCAAAATGCAACAGGTTCTTTTTGAGTATTAAATAAAATTATTGGAGGCATCCTGTGATTGAAACTAATGTCCATGTTACTATAAAAGGAGGCCATAGGTTTCACTTTGTTCACAGGAGTTTGAGCTGGAGTGAAACATGAGAATTAAAGGCTTGAGTCAAATGAGCCCAACACTCCAGGGGTCCTACCTTAGCTGTTGGCTGTGGCTGTACTGTAATGTGCCATAAACAGAAAAATCTGATGTTTAACAATTCATGCTGGAGGCTTGAGTGTCGTCAAGGGAGAATCACTGGACTCTTAGAAAGAAATTCTTAATTGCTAGGAAATTGGGATAGTTGATTTTACTGTGCTCAAGCCATCTTCTGTGTCACAGAACCAAAAAAGACAGTGCTTGCTGTAGGAAGATGCTAATTTCAGTCCTGCCTCATATTAAAATAGATCATATCCCTTTCTCAAGCAGGTTTGTTATTGGGAGCACTGCGAGCATTACCCACTGTTGTACTGGGGAATATACCAAGCAGCATTAGTTTTACTCAAAAATTTGAGGCAGAAAAATGGTATAATTTTAGTAATTGAATATTTTTCATTAAGTTGACATAAATATGTCCTAATCTTACTAAAAATTAATGTGTATTTTAGTGCTAGCTTACAGTGACTGCTTTGGGGATAGCCTGAAGCCCTGTCCCCCAAAAAACCATACTTATTCATGTTCCTCTATCTTCAAGGATACTTCTTTGGAAAAATAGGGATGTTTTATGTTAGATAAGGGATGACAAACTACAGTTTGTGGGCCAAATCTGGCCTGCTGCCTCATTTTTTATGGCCTGTGAGAAAAAAAATGCTATTTTGTGACATGAAAATTGTATGAAATTCGAAGTTTAGTGTCCACAAATAAAGTTTTGTTGCAATACAGCCACCCCATTCCTTTAGCTTTTGCATGCTACAGCCGCAGAGTTGAGTATTTCAGACAATGCATGGCCCGCAAAAACTGAGCTCACTTTGGTCCTTTACAGAAAAAGCGTTTGGCCCCTGACTTAGATAAATCCTGGCTGGTCATTGTGTGAAATGTGCATACAGCGAAATATAGGCTTGTATAATTAAACATTTTTACTTCAACCACTGCTCATAATCAATTTCAAAGGGCAAGAGCTGGCCGAGTGGCTCAGTTGGTTAAGAGCTCGCTCAAGAGAGTGCAAGCTCTGAGCAACAGCGGTTCTATTCCCGGCCCAAGCTGAGTTGCCGCTGAGCTGCCAACAGGTGGCAGGATGGCTCAGCTGAAAATAAAAATAAAAGGCAATTTTATTTGGAGCAAATCCAGTTTCATTGGGATTTGTTGTATGGGGCTTTGCATCAAAAGACCCGAGATGTACTCTATGAGCTCCACGCCCCCTAGTGGATTGCTCTGTAAGGTTCAAAATACCGAATTGGCCAAGGATTTCCTTTCCGTCAGAGGTCGAAAGTCGCCTAGACCTGGGCAGATGTTGACAGATATTGTCATGGCCCTGGGCAGGTCTAGACACGTCAGCGCTCATTTCTATTCCCTTTCCTGCAGCCCAACAGAGAAGAGACTAGGCTCCGAGGGACCTGCCCCTTGCCCCTCCCCCAAATCGGCCGGTAAAGCCGCACGCCTGTCACTCTCCCAGGGCTATGGGGCTTGTAGGTCCTCTACGCTGCACACAGGTGGCATGATCCAACCGGGAGTAGAAAGGAGGGTCAGCCTCAGCAGCCAATCAGGGCTCGGCCCCAAGCACCAGCCAATTGGGCTGGGTCAGTTGGGTTCAGCCAATCAGACCCGATGAGGAAGACCAGAGTAAGCGCTTGCGTCTCTCGCATGTAGCTCTGGGTGGCGCTTCGTGGGGTCCGCGGGTCCTGACCGGGTTCCTAGCTCACTCCCTGGTTCTCGGGGAAACCCGGACTCACCGTCCCGGAGGCATGGGGCGGCAGTGGAAGCCAGTCATGAGGGTAGCTGAGCAGACGGGCTGCGTGGTGAGCGCCTCCCGGGCCGGGCAGCCCGAGGCGGGTTCGTGGAGCTGCAGCGGGGTGATCCTGAGCCGCAGCCCGGGCCTGGTGCTGTGCCACGGGGGCATCTTCACCCCCTTTCTGCGGGCCGGCAGCGGGGCGCTGACCGCAGCCGGCGCTGCCTTCCTGCCCGGCGACAGTTGTATAGAAGACCTGCGCCTGCACGTGCAGTGGGGCCCAACGGCCGCGAATCCCACAGGCCGCCCGGAGCGGGGCCGCCCCTGGCTGTGCACGCCTCAGTGCGCCGGCCTAGAATCCGGCCCGCTGGCCCGGCTTGGCGGGTCGCCCGTGCAGCTCCCGCACCCCGCCGAGCTGCTGCTGCTGTTGAGCTGCCCAGCATTCCGGGCCCACTTCGCGCACCTCTTCGGGAGCGAGACAGCTGAGCAGTGGCGCTTCGCGAGCACGGCGCCGGACGCCGAGGTGTCAGAGGACGAGGAGGAGGATCAGCTGAGAGCGCTGGGCTGGTTTGCGCTGCTGCGAGTGCGGCCCAGCCCGGTGGAAGAGGCGGATGAGCGCGGGCCGAGAGTGGCCGTTGCGCCTCTGGGGGCTCTGCCCAAGGGCTCGCCGCTGCTGGCCTGTGGCTCCCCGTTTGGGGCCTTTTGCCCGGACATCTTTCTCAACACGCTCAGCCGCGGCGTGCTCAGCAATGCGACCGGCCCGCTGCTGCTCACAGATGCGCGCTGCCTGCCCGGCACCGAGGGCGGCGGCGTGTTCGCGGCGCGGCTCCCGGGGGTGCTGGTGGCGCTTGTGGCGGCGCCCCTCTGCTGGAAGTCCCGCGAGTGGGTGGGCCTCACGCTGCTCTGCGCTGCCGCCCCTCTCCTCCGCGCCGCCCGTACCGCGCTTGGCCGCCTGCACCCCTGTGCTGCTTCCCTGGCGGCCCTCCTGCCGCCCGAGGTGGGCGCCCCATGGGTCCTGCCCCTCCGAGACCCCGGGTTCCCGTGGGCAGCTGCAGCTGTGCTGGTGGAATGTGGCACCGTTTGGGGCTCCGGAGTAGTCGTGGCGCCCCGCTTAGTGGTGACCTGCCGGCATGTGGCCCCCCGCGAGGCGTCCAGAGTTCTGGTGCGCCCCACCACCTCCAAGTAAGGCCCACAAAGCTGCTCCCACTCTACTCCCTTACCAGGTCCGAGATCTGGATGTTAGGGCTCAGGTCTTAATTTTCAGGATTACGGAGGCCTTCTGGCGTCACGCTGATGCTTTGGTGGTGTAGTGTGAATAGAGACCTGGGACCCTTCCCTCATCCTTGGCTCCCAGAACCCTAGTATGGGCGATTCTGGCCCTTCTGGCAGGGGCACAATGAGGCTTGGGTAATATGCCAAGCAACTCTGGATTTGGGAGCTGTGGGGCATCCCTGCCTACCTGCCTCTCCCATTCAGATTTCCTTCTGGGCAACTTCTGTCTCATAGCCCTGCCCCCCGCACAACTAGGCCCTTGGAATGGAGACTTCCTAACCCTACCCACACCCCCGAAGTGGTGGTGAAGTCCCAGGGGCCCAGGATGCGCTCCCTCTGGGATAATGAGTTGAGCCTGTTCATCCTATTTATCTCTTAGACCTTACCCAGAGCTTCCCTTCCAGATCAAAATTGCAGATGTGGGCTTTCACCTAATTAAAATGTGGGCGTGGAGCCCAGGCAGATAGATGGGGTTTGAACAATCTTTGAGTGACCCTGGTGGGTAGTCAGGTTGGGACTTTAGACAGTCGCTTGTTCCCTTACTGAAGAGGACACTCTTGCCCTCCTTTGCTTCCACTTGCTCTGACAGTGGCTTTGGCTTCCTGGCTTGGTTTTCTAGTACATGTTCTATTTCCTCTGTAGTCCCAGGTGCTTAGGCCACAGCAAAGCAGGATCACACCTTGGAGTTAGTAGTGCCCGATGTTCTCCTGTACCTGGTTCAATCTAGCCTCCCAGTTCAGGCCTTTCAAAATCCTATTGAATTTCCAAGGTTAACTCAGCCCGGCTTTTGTCATAGAGGTCCCCACTGGCAGCTGACAGGATAACCACGACTTTATAGGGAAGACTGATGATGACCATTTCCCTGGGTATATAATCCTGGATTCCTCACCGTCCCCCACCCCCACACCACTCTTGCTCCTAAGAAAATCAGCAGGTCTGCTGGAAGCTACCCTGAAAAGTGTGTAGCAGGAAGCCCCTGTGTGATCTTGAGTGAGTCACTTATCTGTCTAAGCTGCCTTGCCTTGAGTTGACATGTAAAGTCTTGGAACAGAGCCTGGCACATAGTAAGTGCTATAGAAATGCTGGCATTTCTGTAAACAAGGACCCAGAGGGATGAAGTCATATTATGCCTGCCCCACCAACGGACAGGATTGTCGGTATCAAACGAGGCAGTGAAGGAAAACACTGGTCATGTTTGCTCTGGCTCCTGCCACTTAACTGTGTGATCTTGAGAAAGTTACTCAACCTTTCTGGATCTCAAATGCACCATCTAAAATGGAGATAATACCAGTGCCTCATTCAAAGGGCTCTTGTGAGGACTAAATGAATGATGTCCACAGAGCGTTAACACCAGGGCTGGCCCCAGTGCTCACTGGGTGTCTGTCAGGTGTTTATGATCATGGTGACATGCAGGAAGCTTTGCAGAGACATACTCTACAATTGGTAAAGCATGTCTGGAAATACCCCAGAATGGTTAAATGACATGCCAAGAGTTACCGGCCTGGTAGGTTTCAGGGCTGGCAGCAGATCTTTTAACTCTCAAGTTCATGACTTTTACTGTCACTCATCCCTTTGCTTCTTCCCTGTCCTAAAGGGTCAGAAAGCTGTCATTTTGTTTCCCTTGCTCCCAGGAGTGCCAAGATCTGGGGACATGTAGTGTTTGCCACTCGGGAGACATCTCCCTATGACATAGCGGTGGTGAGCCTGGAGGAGGACCTAGAGGGTGTCCCCATCCCTGTGCCCACTGAGCATTTCCACAAAGGTAAAGGACAGAGGGGCCTGCTGATCTGGGTGGACCTTGGGAAGGGAAGTCAGAGTTGGGCACTCAAACACTGCAGATCGGGGGGGCCAGTCTCCCAAGCTAGCTCCTTGCCCTGCCCATGCTGGACTGGTGAGTCAGGTTGGCATCAAGCTGGCATGAAATCCTGGTTCCAGTGCATTGGCCGTGGATGCTCTTGGAGGCTTCCCTGCTTGTGCCCAGCATGCCTAAGGTGCTGAGGGGTGGGGCAGGTGGGATCCCTGTCAAAGGATGAGCTCGCCTCTTTCCTGAGGCCCTGTGGCAGTGTAGTATGGAGATGCTGGGCCTTGGGGGCTCCTTATAATCCTGCAGGCTGGTCACATAGGTGTTGCTTCAGTGGCATGATTTGAGAAAAAGGTCTTGTGATGCTGCCACAGAAGCACCAGAGGTCTTGCTTTGTGCATGCAGTGTAATATAACTGCAAAGAGTACAAGCTCTCTGAGTTAGCATCTCTTCTGCTGCTCACTAGCCCTGTGTCCTTGGACAGGCAGCTTAATGTTCTCTGCCTCAGTTTCCACATCTGTCTAATAGGGGTAGCTCCCTACTCCTGGGTGTTATGAGGCAGGGGTGAAGGACTCAGCCCTAGGCCCTGAGCATTCAAAGCTCTTGGTAAAGGAGGGTTTTGTAGTCATCGTCACCATTTTTTTCCACCAAGGGACTTCTTAGTCCCAGGAGTAGATGGATGTTAATTCTACAAGCATTTAATGAACATCTAGCTAGGTGCTAGGAACTTCAAAAAGTGACTGCCCAGTCTAGCAGGGGACAGAGGGCAGGGGAACAGCCTGATGCTAAGGAGAAAGGGTTAAGCAGATGCAGGGCTGGGAGCTCAGTGGCGGTCCTGGCCTCTTCCTGTGGGGATGTGGGGAAGGCTCTCTGAAGGCAGGAGTATCTGAGCAGAAACTCAAAGGGCAGAGTTTGGAACTTTGGAGAGGACAGGAATAGGGTTGGGGAGGCTGAGTCCTGCCAGACAGAGGAGGCTTCTCAGCTTTACCCTCCTTCCCTCTCTGGCAGGTGAGGCTGTCAGCGTGGTGGGCTTCGGTGTCTTTGGCCAGGCTTGTGGGCCCTCAGTGACCTCAGGCATCCTGTCAGCTGTGGTGCAGGTGGATGAAACACCAGTGATGCTGCAGACCACATGTGCTGTGCATGGCGGCTCCAGTGGGGGACCCCTCTTCTCCACCTACTCAGGGGACCTCCTTGGTAAGCAGCTGCTTGGCCCTCTCGCAGCCCTCCCCTTGCCGGAGCCTCAGTACCATCTAGTGAGTGCTCAGTGTCCAGCCCTGGGAGCCACTCTCTGTGTTCTTATGTCCAGGAAATAGTTAGCCAAGGTTTTCAGGCTATTCTGCTCCTGAGTGTGGAAAGAGACAGACGCTGAACTGGGAAGGAAAAAGGTCTGGGTTCTGGTCCTTTCTCTGCCACTAAGCCACTTGGTGATTAAGGTGAATCACTTAATCTCATTCAATCTGTGAACCTCAAGAGTTGGATTAGTCCAAGGGTCACAGACTCCAAAGCCTCCAGAGACTGGGCAGGTAAAGTGAATGAATGAGTGAAGACAACAGGGAGTGGAGGGTCAAAGGTGAACTGGGGTGAACACCCCTCAGCTCCAGTGTCGTTGCCACATTGTGAAGGAATGTGGGCCTAAAACTGGCTGATCTCCGATTTTTCACAAGAAGCTGTGGACCTTTTTGTTCGTGGATATGATTGTTAAATCTTTCAACTTTTAAAGTTTGGTAACTAAGTCAGGTGGGTTATTTATTTATTTTGAATAGTCTATTGATCTATTTTTAAGAAAAGCCAACATGAGTCCACATGGAGACCTCCCACTGCAGTCCAGCACTCAGGGTCCATGTGCACGTCCGCTTCTCTTCTTTCTGACTGCTTTCCCCCATAGTGAGAGACATTGCTCTTACTAGCGACAATATTGCTTATTTCTTCAATCATAGTGTGCAAATAAAGTCAACCATAACTTTTAAACATGTGGATACAGAAATATTTATGTATATGTATGCATGAGTATGCATATATATATGTATATATATCCCAGCTCTGTCTGCTGTGACACCCCCGTTGCAATGAACACACTCAGAGCCCAGATCTTGGTTTCTAAGTGCCATTCTCTAGTAAAAAGAATGGGAAACTAGGACAGGGACAGGGAAAATCCAAGATGAGCCTGGAGTACCTGTGGTACTGGAAAGGAAGGAAATCTTAACAATGACAAAATGACGGGGCATGTCAAATGTTGAAAGAACCAATAGCTGACTTGAAGGAGCTTCTGCTAGAACAACTTGAGCAACAAAACAAATAATAATAGTGTTGGATTATAAACCAAAGGAAAAAATGAATATCCATTAGTCCACAGTGCTATAAATAATAACCCAATAAATTTTTAAATGGAGACAAGCAACAGCTCTTCCTTACAAAAGATTTCCAATTAATAAATGCAGAAGAAATGAGGGAAATAGAAAGTCATTAGTGGTTCACCACAGTAGGAATTGCTGCAGACAGGATCCACTGATGTATGCTAAAATCAGTGGGCAAACGTTTAAGTAGAAGCTGGATCTTTGCCTAACCCTAACCTACGTAATACCTTACAAAGGGGAAAATATTGGGTTGTTGGAAAAGTCATGACGTATTTTGTCTATGTTTTTCAAAGGTCATTTATATAAAGAACAAAGATCAATTAATGATATATTGCCCATTTTGTTCGATAAGACCAGGCGAGTATGGTGGGTGTGGCAACACATCCCATCCAAGCTCCAATAATTTTTGACGGGTGATCAAACTTGTGTATGGTCTCACGTTGTCGCGATGGAACACAACTCCTTTACAATTAACAAGCTTTCGGACGTTTCTGGGTGATGGATTCGTTCAAACTGTCCAATTGCCAACAGTACACATTCGAGTTGATTGTTTGGTTTCTTGGTAGGAGCTTGAAAAACAGGACATCTTTAAAATCCTACCACACTGAGAGCATAACCTTCCCCTGATGAATGTCTGCTTTCAGTGTCGTTTGAGGCGAATCATCATGTCTGGACCAAGACTGTTCGCACACCACATTGTTGTAAACAGTCCACTTCTCATCACCAGTTATCAGTTGGTTCAAAAAAGGATCGTTTTCCTCCCATTTAATGAGCATCTTGCAGATATTTATATGTGCCATCAAATGAACTTCATTGAGTTCACGCGGAACCCAAATTTTGAGCTTGCTTACATATCCTAGCTTCTTCAGGTGGTCGTGAATGATGGATGTTCAATGTTTCTGCAATCTCTCGTGTTGTGTAATGTGCGTTTGACCCGATCAATGCCTTTATTTTGTCGTCATCAACCTTGGTGGGCCTCTCTGACTGAGGAACATCATTGATATAAAAATCACCAGCATGGAATTTTGTGAACCATCGTTGGCACTGATGTTCTTGGAGAGCATTGTCACGTAAACTTTATGCAACTTTTCACAAGCTTGATGCATGTTCTTCCCTTTATGGAAATAAAACAGTAAAATATGGCAAAACTGCACAATTTGGTCTTCCATCTTCAACTTGTAAAATTTCCAAAACTCAACCAAATTGCTCAATTTTTTTTAGAATGAAGCTAGAACTGTCAGCTGTCAAACGGCATAGCAATAACATAGATGCAAATGACTCTAGTACTTCCAAAAATGAACTAGTGCCATCTGTTGCAAACATGCGTCATGACTTTTCCAACAACCCAATAGTAAATCTACAGTGGAGAAACCTGGCAGATACCACCTTAGCTGAGTGGTCAACGTTAACATCACAAGTAATGGTTATAGACATCATACATCTCCTAATAGGAAGCACTGAGAAGGATATGTTGCTTCTCAATAAAGCATAAACCTCAATCTTATCATGGGAACACATCAGGTAGACCCAAATTGAGGGAAAGTCTACAAAATTACTGGACCTGTATTCTTCAACGTGTCAAGGCTTCATGAAAGATAAGGAAAGACTGCGGAACTGACCCAGATGGGAGGAGACTTAGGAGGGGTGACAACTAAATGCCATGTGGGACTCTGGAATGCATTCTGGAGCAGAAAAAGCATGAATGGAAACACTGGTGACACCCAAATGAGATCTGTGCTTTAGTTAATAGCATTGCACCAAGGTTAATTTCTTTGTTTTGATCAATGTTTTATGGTGACATAAGATATTTAACAGAAGGGAAAGCTGAATGAAGGATGTAGGAACTCTGTACTATTTTGGCAAGGTTTCTGTAAGTCCAAAATTGTCTTAAAAAGTACATGCACACACATACATGCACTACGCAGGCCAAACAGAAAGTGTCTGTGCGTCTGATTCATTTATTCATTCGCTTACTTGAGTGCCCCCTCCATGCTGGGCACTGTTCTGGGTGTGGGGAGACTGCACAAACAAAACAGAAGTTGTGCCCTCGTGGACCTGGCCCTGGTTGGCGAGAAAGATAACAAAACAAGTGAAACAGTGTGTTAGAAATTGATAGTGTTAGGACAGTTAAAGCCAGCAAAGGGGAGCAGGGTGTGGGGAGCTGGTGTCCATGAAGGGAAGGCTAGCATCTGGGGGCTTCAAGCCCCCAACAAGCCTAGAGCTTCCAGGATGGAGATGGGCCCCGCTTCCCATCCATCTGTCTGTCCCCTGGCTCACACCCCCTTTTCTTCTCTTGAATCCTCAACAGGCATCGTTGCCAGCAACACTCGGGACAATACCACGGGGGCCACCTACCCACACCTGAACTTCAGCATTCCCATCACAGTGCTCCACCCGGCTCTGCGGCAGTACAGTCAGACGGCCGACCTGGGCGGCCTCCGGGAGCTGGACCATGCCACCGAGCCAGTGAGGGTGGCCTGGCGGCTGCAGCGGCCCCTGGCGGAGGCCCCACGGAGTAAGCTCTGAGGCTGTCACCCTCTGGAAGGAGAGCCACCATTTTATGCCTTGGGAAGCGCTGAGGCAACGCAGCCTCTGGATCCTGACATGGCACGCCCCAACTGGCGACTTTTCCATCGCTGCTCCCCTTGTTTGGTTCTGGAGTCTGGATCAAACTTCTCAGCCCCGTGGGTCTCAAGCCCAGCAGCCCTTTTTGGGGTGCTTTCTCCAGCCCCCACCTCTCTCTGCCCCCAGCACTAGATTCACCTCTGTTATTCCCCACCTGGGGAGCCCAGCATAACTGCACAGCAGCCCTGGTCCTGACACACAGACGCTGGCTGGAAGGCAGCCATTGTGTCTGTTCTCTGTCTCCTGGTGGCCGCTGGCTGTCTGGAGCAGCTTCTTCCCTGGGACCTTGGCTCCTCTCCGCTCGCTGTCAGGGTTGGGTCGACAGAGCACTGGGGCTTCCTCAGAAAACCTCGGCAGAGAGACCCTGCTCTGAAGACCAGGGACAAAAGAAAGGAGCGTCTCCCTGTTCTGCCAGACCTATGGGGAGGCAGAGTCCCCGAAAATCAGGACTCCTGTGTCTTCATATGTCAGGTGTCACTGAAGGGCAGGGCAACTCTGACCCAGTGCCTTAATTTTCTAACCCTACAATATGTCTCAGGGATCTGGGGGGTAGAATGTGTCTGATTGGGGTTTGGGAATAAACAGGACCTGTGGGAGGACCTCTATGCTTGCATGTATCAGCTTCTTTCTTTCCTTTTTGTTTTGAGAGTTGAATCCAGAATAGGCAAGCAGCAGGCACAGAAACACACCTTTTCTGTCGCACACTCTCGGTGGGGTTTGATCTCATAGGATACTCCCATGTCAGACTGGTCCTGGTAGCTGGTCATGGTGCCAGTCAGCACTGGATGGTGCTTGTAGCTCCCAAAAGGTGGTGTGGTCTTGGCCTGGCAGCAAGTGTTTCCAGAGTATCTGGGATGTGCCCAGGTCTGTGGTGGGCCCTGGGGTGCGTGGGAGTTGGGCAGTTCAAAGGTGAATGTGAAGATAACCCAGCAAGTCAGGAACATGTGGGCCCTCAAGAAATGATTGTTAAATCACTGACAGGTTGGATGCCATTTGTGGCGGGCTGGGGGGCTGATTCTAAGTACAGAGAATCCCTGGGAGTACTTTATGTCTAACATCGGCTTGTAGAGTGCCAACTCTGGGCAACCATAGAACACTCCTGTGATGGTTGTTCTCCCTTTCATGGATTAGGAATGGGCCCAGAGGGAAAAGCTAGCCTGAGAGAAGTGCCGCAGTAAATTAATGGTAGCAGGGGGTGAGGGCTGAGTTCTGACTGCTGGGAGGGGTAGGGGAAGGGTTTATTTGAGCATGTATGGGTACCGAGTAGCTCAGGCTATTAGTGGGAGACCGGCGTGTCAGCCCATTCGTACAAAGATCAGGGCAGCTCTGTCCTGTTCGGATGGAAGACTGTCCAGGAAGGGAGGATCAGGCAAGGCTTCATCAAGATGATTTGAGCTGAACCCTGAAAAGAGTAGGTGTTTACCAAATGAACTGGAAACGGACAACCTGTGTTCCAGGTTGAGAGCAGTGGGAGCTGGTATAAGGAAGTGTGAAAATACATTCCTGTCCTGGAAGTACTAAATGGAGAGAAAATTGGAAGAGCAGGTCTGGAGGCTGGAGAACCAGTTACAATGGTGTGGGACAAGACACCTAAAGCAGGACTCAGGGGCTCTCTGCATCCACACTCTGGCACCATTGCTCTTCTGGGTCCCCAGGGGCTGAAGAAGGAGGTAGAGACTCCCACATATCTGACTGTATTCCCTCCTTCAGCCCTCATTCACCGGGCCGGGTGCCAGCTAGGATAGGAGGAGAAGCAAGGATTCCAGAAAACAGGGAGATGCTGCCTGGGCTTTGTAGGCTAATAATGAGAGGGGGGTACTCATGGGAGCACAGCAGCTTGAGATGATTCTGGGCACCACCCTCTTAGTGGAATTGATCACAATACTCCCTCTGCCAGGAATATTGGATGCAAGGTCTTTGACCACAGCTTTTGGAAGAGGTACAGAAATGGCCACTTGTAGTATAAACGCTCATGAAAACCAGATAGATGAAGGACAGTATTCAAAAGTGTTAGGCTGGGAGCCAGGAAGCTGCCATTGCCTCGGGCAAGCTAATCAGCCCATATAAAATACCTATAATAAATGGCTGCTGTGTATTCATTGCTGCTGTATGCCAGGCACCACACCAAAACTCTTCACATAAATGATCTAATTGAATCTTCCGCAACTCTTAGAGTAGGTGCTAATATTTGCATTAAATAGATGAACATGGCTTATCTGCCACCAAACTAGCTTGATCCTACGGCCAGGATGTAGCTTGCATCAGTCCATTTCTCTACAGAGCCTAGTCCAAGTGCTCATGCGCTCTCTCGCCCTTTTTTTTTCTTCTTTTCTTTTTGTCTCCAGACTGCCTTCCTAAGTTGTTCCCTCAATTTCAGGCAGCTTTCCTACTCTCCCATCCTTTCACCACAGAACACAACTCAGGCCTGTCACTCTTCTGGTGAAAACCCTGCAGTGGCATTCCATTGCCCCTGGGATGACAGGGACAGTCTTCCCCAGGACCTGGAGGCCTGTACCACCCTGCCCACGCTGGCCCCTCTGTCCTCCGCTTCTGCAATGCCCCTGCTCTCGGCAGTTTGTCCTGCGTCCGGGTCTTTGCATATCCAGAGCACACTTGCCTCCTGTCTGCTCAGGGCTAACTCCCTCTCATCCTTGGAGAGAGGCTTTGGCTTCCTTCCTTTGCCCCCAGTCTTTCTTAATGCAATGAGTGATACATGTTTAATGTAGCTCTTTCCCCAGACTAACACCTCATCGGACGGAAAGCAGAAACCATGCCTGTTTTGTTTTCCCTTTTATCTCCCAGCGCCTGGCACAGGGCCAGGCCTCAACTGGGTTTGTAGGATTATTTTTATATGCACGAAGGGAGGAGGTTGGTAATCTCCCCAGGCGGCACAGCCGGTGCCGGCGGACGGGGAACGGGGACCCCTTGCTTTGAGGTCCTGCTGAGTGAAAGAGCTTTGGAAGAAAGTCGGGCGGAACTTTGAGCAGAATCCGAGGGGCTCGCACGGAGCCGGGCAGCATCAGTCTTTACGGGTCATCTCTTTCACGGTTGAGGCCATTCTCATCCACCCGCGGGCGGGCAGTCCCATGGGGCCCCGCCGGGGGTGTGGCCGGGCCGGGAGGGCGGGCGCGCTGAGTCACGCCCGCCGGGAGGGGCCTCGGGACCCAGCGGCGACCGGAGCGGCCGGCGAGAGCGGCGCGGCGGCGGGAGACGGCCCGCGTCGGAGGCGGCGCGCCGGGCAGGCTCTCGGGGTCCCACAGAAGAGTGGAACAAGGCGGCGCCGGGGCCCGGGAAACGCAACAGAGTCGGAGGTCGGTGGGTGCGAATCGTGGCCTTCCTTGGGAGGAGCGGTCTGTCGTCTAAGATACGGGGCTTGGGCCTGTACTACCCTAGTTCCCCCAAAACACAACAGGGAGATATACTCTCGGAGAGGGCAGGGCAAACTCGCCCCATCCCCGTCTGCCCCCCGAAATTCCGGCTAAGTCTTCCCAGGTAAGACGGGCTACCCCATGCTCTCCTCCCCTCCCCCATCCTGGGAAGGCTCTGAGAGTCGCCGCTGGGTGGAAGCTGGTGTCACAGGGCAGGAGGAAAGCCTCCGACTCTAGGACGAGATACCCGGGTTACCCTGTGCCTACAGGCTGCGGGGTGCACTCCGGGCCAGCTTTTCCCTCCGCGAAGCCCCCCAGGTTCTGTGTGGACAAAGGCCATCAGGGCGCTGAACTAACGCTGATGGGGCTAGGGAAGGCCAGGAGGACGCCTGAAATCCACCGGGAGCTGCTTTTAGTGGGTGACGGGCCTGTCTCCTCCAAGAGTGCCTTTGACCCTTGGATGGACTGCGAGGGTGGGGCGGGAAGAGGCGCTTGGGAGCTGACGATCCCACCGGAGGACAGGCACAGGGCCGAGGGTCAGTTTGGAGAGGGGCTTCCAGGTGTCTTGGGTGTTCAAAGGCCAACTTGTAAAATATGTAAATATGTAAAATATCAAGGAGGCCTGGTCAGGTTCTAGTATGTGTCTGTGTAGGTGAGTGTGCCTGAGTGCAAGCCCCAAGCTCTCAGACCCCACCTGCCCTCACCCCAGCACCTTGAGAGAAGCCCTCCAAGGGCGCTGTGTGTAACCCCGCATGTGGAAGGCCTCCGGTCCAGAGGAGGAGACTGTTGCCCCGTTGTGCCTGGCCTTGATCAGGGCTACCTAGGGGTTAAGTGGTGCCGCTCTGGGCAGAGCCAGTGTACTCCAGGGTCGGCCTGGTCTTTAACTGGTGCTGAAATGAGGAAGCCAGGTTCCAGACAGGCGATGAGCAGACGCTGGGGGTGTTAAGGGAACCACAGGATGGTTAACTGGCTCCCAGGATGAGGTACAAATTTTGAGGCTTAGGTTTTCTGTACGAGAAGGAGTATGCGTGACACTGGAATGAGCCTGTCTGCTCAAAGCTGCCCTCTCCTGGACATGAAAGGACAGCCCCTTCTTCAGACTTTGAGTCCCTTTCACAAATTGGTCTTTTTCGTGTTACATTCTGCATGTGTTCCCCTGGGGGCCTGGCCATGGAATGCCCACTCTTAACCTGTTCCTGGGTGTCCAGTGAGGGAGGCTGCAGGACCCTCTCTTTCCCCCAGGTGGAGAGGGGACATTCCTGGTGTTTGAAATCGCAGTCTAGTAGCCCTCTCATCTATTTAATAGAATGTCCACTCTGGAAACAGGCTGTAGAAATCTTCCCTGGGAATAACTGGTGAGGACTCAAGAAGCTGTGTGTTTTGTTTGTAATCTCTATGAAGCAATCCTGGGCGATGTCCTTCAATCAGAGCATACATGGTTCTGCTGTATGTCTTCAGGGCCGTGACCTCTCCACAGCTTTGGCATAAATGTAACTTCATCATTTTTCAGTAGATTCCTAAAATCCCCTGCCTGTATTATTAGAAAAGAATCCCCCTGGGGTAAGGCTGGGAGTCCTTGGTAGAGAAAACAGGATTTACTGAGAAAATTCCAGTGTAAACCAGATTGTGTGTGTGTGTGTGTGTGTGTGTGTGTGTGTGTGTGTGTGGATGGGGGGTGGGGCAGAGGTAAAATTCCTTAGCTGTTACTGGACAGTTAGGATTTGTTCTCTTGGACCATCTTTTATGCTAACCTTCCTGAATCTAGGCAGATTTAGTTAAGATTCTCTGTGCTGTCCCCCTTGGCTTGATGTTCAGTTCAAAATCAGATGGTGGGTTTGGCAGTTCCTCAAAAAGTTAAATCTAGAGTTACCATAGGACCCAGCAATTTTACTTCTAGGTATATACTCAAGAGAATTAAAAACATATGTTCACACAAAAACTTGTACATGAATGTTCATAGCAGCATTTTTCACAATAGCCAAAAGGAAACAACCCAAATACACATAAACTGACAAATGGATAAACAAAATGTGGTGTGGTGTATCATCATACAATGAGCTATTACTCAGTTATAAAAGGGAATGAAATACTGGCACATGCTGTAGCTTGGATGGATTTTGAAAACATTATGCTAAGTGAGAGACACCAGACAGAAAAGGTATGGAATAGGTAAATCTGTAGAGACAGAAAGGAGATTGGTGGTTGTTGTCAGGGGCTGCAGGGAGGAGGGAACGGGGATGAGTGCTAATGGATGCGTTTTTTGGGGGTTTTTTAGGGTGATGAAAATGTTCTGGAATTTAAGTGTGGTGATGGTTGCACAACTTTATGAATGCACTAGAAACCACCGAATTGTACACTTTAAAATAGCGAATTTTATATGAATCTCTCAATTAAAAAAAATAGATGTTTTTAAAGCTTTATTATTTCTGTAAAATGACTCATTTAAAAATATTCAAATGATTAAAAGAAAGAAAGAAAGAAAGAAAGCTCAAAGAAGAAAGTAAAAACATCATCTGGTGACCACCATGAACATTTTGGTTTCGAGTCCACGTCTGTCAGACTGTTGAGGATTGAACTTGAACAAGCTACTGACTTTCTTTCCAAAATGGGACGAAAAACTCACACCTGTTCAATGCAAAGATATGGGTAAAAGTGCATTGAACGCTAGCTGTTGTAGTCAGCAAAATGAATGGGAAGGTATAGAGATTTCCCATATGCCCCTTGTCCTCTCACATACATAGTCCCTCCCATTATCAACATCACTCACAGAGGGGTACACTTGTTACAGCTGATGAACCTACATTGACATAATCACCCAAAGACCACAGTTCACATTACGATTCACTCTTGGTCTTGTGCATCCTATTGGTGTGGACATATCATGGACAAACTTTTCATGTAAAAGTCATCCACTCTAAAAATGAACGGCTCCAGAATATTCCGTTGTATGGGTGTAGAACAGTGTATCCTGTAGGTTCTTACTGATGGAGTCTCTCATTGAGGCTGTTTGCCCAGCACGACTGCTACATTAGAACATATAATACATCTTGTCAATTGTGCATATGCTTTTTGAGCACTTACTGTGAGGGTGGGAGCTCAGGTCCATGGCTTAGGCCCAGGGTTTAGGTGTCTGGCCAAGTAGGTCATGGCTGAGCAGAAGGTTGTCCAGCTGTCCTCAGGGCCCAGGCAAGAATTGGCACTGGAAGAGCCAAGGGAGAGTCAGCACGTCCAAGCGCGTTGGGCAATGGAAGCTGCGAGGAGGAGGGGTGGCATTGGCTGGAGAGCTGCCAGTCCACCATTCCCCCAAGTGAGTGTATCAGAGGTCAGTAGAGGAGAGAGAAGAGCAGATTCCAGCCCTCCTACCACCTAACTGTGTTAGATTGGGCCTAGGTGTGTTCTCAGGCCCCACACCTACCACTGGGACTCCAGAGAAACAATTTGCCTTCACTGAGGGTGTGTTTAGTTGGATGGGCCAGGGTTTGCCCTTTGGGGAAGTCAGTTGATGATCCTGAGGGTGCTAAGGGGGCAGGGAGGGTTCAACTCCTTTGGCCAACCCACTGCCTATCAGGCCTGTGCTGGGGTCACTGGGCTTTCTCTCTTCCTAGGGAAGGAGACCCTGTGAGGGACCCAGGACAGGCCTGCTGGTTAGAATTGGCAGACTTGTAGGCCCAAATGCTGCCCTGACATGACAGGCACTGTGTGTGCTGGCCCCTGTCCCCGGCCCTCCTGGCCTCCTCACCTTGTTCACTGAACTCGTCCTAAGCCTCCCTTTCTGCCACTGGATTTCTTGGCCCCACGCTGTTTCCTCTGTGGAGAAGCCACTGGCCTCAGCTATTTTCAAAGGCTTCTCCTTGAGTGTCCCTGGATGGTCCAGTGTGACCTGACGCATGAGAGACCCCTTCTCCCCAACAAGCTGTGCAGCCTCTCTCGGGCCTGTGCCCAGCCAGCTTGGAAGCAGAGCTTTCTGGGTGTTGCCCAGACTTCCTGGCTGGCTGCTGGCCCCAAGGGCAGGCTGGCACAGAGGGAGCCAGAGGGGTAGGTGAAACATACCCCCTCCGTAGCCTGCCTCATCCGCTGACACATTCCCAGGCCCTGCTCAGTGTCCTCCTGGTGTCCACTCCTGACCTCTGGCTGGGCCCCTGGGTTTTGGCTCCCAGGATACATTCTTGTTCTGGCCCAGTTGGCAGATTCAGCCTGATGAACACTCAGGCGATCAGCTCTGGACAACCTTTATGAGGGCCTGGAGCAACAAAGGTGGCGTTGTGTGCTGGGGACTCGCCCTGCCCCTCCGCCCCCCCCCCCAAGGGATGGGTAGAATGGACAAGCCTCAGTGCACTGGGGAGCATCTAGCCAGTGAGAAACGTTAAATCCCCTCCAATCTCCTGTGCCAGAGCTAGCCTTGCCAGGTTTTCCCTCCCCCAGGGAGAAATCACGCATTTGAATATCAATGAGAATAATGGCTCAGTGGACCTCCAGCTTATGGTTGGTCCAACCATAAGCTGCCCCCATAAGTGTCAGAAGATTTGGGGACCATCTTGGGGGCCACCATGCCTTGGAAACCTATGTGTGCAAGGACATCCCAAGGGTTTCCCCTCCCATTACAGGGAGTAAATGGAACCCAGAGAGGGAAGGGGTTGCGCTCCAGGCCACACAGATGGAGTGGCAGCCTTCCAGCTGCCTGCGGTGCTGCCCGAGAGGTTCCCCAGATGGGCTAGAGCACGCTTCCCCATTGAGTCTTTGGGCAGCTTGCTGTCTGTCCTTCAAGGCTGACCTAAGTCTGCTTCCTCCTTCCTTGCCACCCGCCCCCGCCTGCCATCTCCCGCTCTGAACCTCCCCTCCCTGAAACCCACAGCAGCTTTTGGACCTCTCTTGCTGCTTTCTGTGTAATGTGAGCTTTGCTTCTTTCCTCAGTTTCTCTCCCTGGCAGCCTGTCCTTAGATCCTGGCACAGGCCAGGAGGAGGTTTGGTTGCTTGTCGCTTCTAGCCAGCATCTCCCAACAATCCCTCATTGCTCTCAAGATCTGAGCTGCAGGCAAGGCGTCTCAGCTCCTCAAACAGCTGGGCTCCCACACTGGAGAGTGCTGAGGCCTTGCACCATGAGCATCCTTCACTGGGGCTAAGCTGTGCTGGGGACAAGACCCCTGGCTGCAGCCCCAGGCCAGGCCCTCTGCCCTCCATAGGGGCAGACTCTGGGATGCGCCAAGTGACCCAGGCCCTTTGGACGGCGAGCCTGGTAGATAGCCTCCCAGGCTGGCTGGGGGATTCCAGGCAGGCTTTGCCACCTTCTTTTTCCTGTATGCTCAACGGTTCAGCATCTAGTGACCCAGCCCAGCGCTGTTCTCTGCCTCAGATGTCCTCCGTTGTCCAGCTCTGGGCCAATGGTTCTTGAATTTAGCTCCTCAGGGACTCACCCAAGGTTTGTTCTCAGTTTGCTGGAAACTAGTCAGGCTGCCCCAGTCCATGTGTGACCGTGAGTCTGGGGCGCACTTGACCTGTCCCTCTCTGCGGACACTCTCGTCGACGGCAGCTCCCCTTTCTGGGCATCAAGCAGGACCTTGCTCGCCCTCTGCCTCTCACTGGAGCCTGTACGATCAGCGCTTCTCCTCCACCTTCTTTCTTATTAGCAGACATTCCTTCTCAGACCTTAACCAGCACTGTTTCTTCTCCCAGTAGATATTTCTTCCTGCCTCGTCTCCTGAGGAATGTCGCCCAACAGTCCCAGTGTACATCCGCTGTCTCAGGAATGCTCAGAGGAATGACCTGCCCACTGCAGGCCTCTCCCCTCCACCCCACTGTCATGGCCTTGGTCACACTGCATCCTATTTTGCAGGTTGACTGTCATAACCTGCCAATTGATCTCCTTAGACATGGGGCTCAAGCTGGTGACGTGTGTGGGCAGGTCTGTCTGGTCACAGCGTTTGCTTAGTACAGGGCTTAAAGAATTTTATTTAGTTCCTCTGATGTGGCCTTGCCTGCAGTTCCCCACAGATGTGCCCACCATTACTGTTACTATGCACCTGACCATTATGCCTGCATTATCCACTGGCCCTTTGAGTTTGTAAGCCCCACCTTTACAAGGGCAGAGACCATATCTGTCTGTTTGTCTGTCTCTCTGACCATAGGATCCGTGGCACAGAGCATATCAAAGAGCAGGAGCTCAGTTAATGTATGTTGTTGAGTGAGCAAATATATTGAGTGAAAAAAGTGCAGAATAGTTTAAGTGTGCAAAAAATAATTATGGTTATTGGTACACAGAGTATCTCTGGAAGGACTCATATAAACTTAGTAATAGTGGGTGCCTTGGAGAAGGGAACTGGGTGGTTGGGGGATGGGATGGAATTGTGATACCCCTTGTTTTTTAGGAATTTAATTCAAATTTTACAAAATTGGAATTTCACTAATGGACATAATTACATAATTGGAAAAGATCAGGTCTTCCGCATTCGAGTTCTTTCTCACTGTGGGCTCACCCCTGCTCTCCCAGCCTCGAACACCCCCCTGACTCCGACATAGCCTCTCTTTCTATCCCAGCAGAGCCTGGTTCAAGATGGGGTCCCAGGTCTCGATGGACATGAAAGGTGTGCACGTGGTGATTGTGGGCGGCGGCTTCGGCGGGATTGCGGCTGCCAGCGAGCTGCAGGCACTGAATGTCTCCTTCATGCTGGTGGACATGAAGGACTTCTTCCACCACAATGTGGCAGCCCTCCGGGCCTCCGTGGAGAGTGGTAATGGGCTCCTTTCTGGGGCATTCCTGGTGGGAGTGGTCTTGTCATGCTGTCGGTCTGGAGATGGTTTTCTCCATTTAGGGCAAGGTACCTAAATACCACCAGCAGACAAATGCTGGAGAATCTTGTCACTGGCCTTAAGCAGCTACCGTATTAAGACCCTAGAAGTAAGAGCTTGAGCTTCCCAGAGGACCTGAGGCACAGACTGGTACCTTAGAGGGTGGTGGGTACCCTGGGTATGCCACTGTCCCAGCTGTTTGGCCAAGGGCACCCCTGGAAAGGCTCTGTTATTCTGGCCTCTTGTGGGCAGCTCAGTTTTACACTGTGATCTATTCTGTATCCACTCCCCAGGGTTTGCCAAAAAGACATTCATTTCCTACTCGGTGAGCTTCAAGGAAAGCTTCCGGCAGGGTCTGGTGGTGGAGATTGACCTGAAGAATCAGAAGGTGCTGCTGGAGGATGGCGAGGTGAGCACGGGGGCCGGCCTGCCCATCAGCTGGCTTCAGCAGGCCCCTGGAGGACACGGCCGCTGGCGGGAGGAGACCTGCGTGGGTCTCCTCAAGGGTGGAGAGAGTCTCCTGTGGCCCTCATCGTCCCTCTGTGCCCACTGCCTGGTCCTGGGCACATAGCAGCTTCCTCATAAGCAAAGGCCTGACCACAGCAGTCACGAGAGTGTGGTAGCAGACATTTCTCAAGCCTTTCCTGTATGCCAGGCACTGTCTTAGCCTTACATAATTTCATTTAATATGTCAGAGAGGTGGTATCATCTCACTTTACCTAGAGGATAAGTGGGATCCTTGCCCAGGATCCCATAGCTGGGAAGAGACTCAGGCAGAATTTGAATCCAGGCAGTTTCACCCCAGAGCCCATGTTCTGAAAGCCAGTATGTCCTGGACCAGCCCCAGACCTGGCGAGCCCAGGGAGCCCTCCTCCTCGCTGGCTAGAATCAAAGGGTAGGCACACACGTGATTCACATCCCTGGATTAGGGGGTCATGGGGGCAGAGGTTCTCTTCACTCCTTTTTGGGTTCTTCAACCCGGGTGTGTAGCATGGTGCCTGGTATATACCTGCAGTGACGTGAGCTTTATCAGTGAGCTGCCACTAGCCCACTCGTTGTATTGAGGGTCACCTGTAGCTTGGCCCTCTACTCTATTCAAAGCTGAGGGGGGATTGGAAAAAGGAGACAGAATTCCTTGCCCTCAATGGGTATGTGATTTAGTGTGAATCAATCCTTCTTTAGCTAATTTTAGGGCTAGGAATCTCCCAGTTGGAAAACTTACTGAGAGTCTGCTTGTCCTGTGGTTTTGGGCCAAGCTTTTCAGAGCTCTGGAAGGGCCCGTGCAGGCATCTCAGGCCTCCATGGGGGAAGTGGGGGCTGAGTGGGATACAGACCCCCTGGTTCCCCACCCATCAGAGCATCTGGTTTTGTCAACTTTATATATTTAGGCTCCAAACAGCACCTATCTTCCTTTCTCCCTCCATTCCTTCCATTTTTTGGGGGTGGGGAAGGGACAGGGAGTTTTTTTTTCTAAAATACCTAGGAGATTCTAAATTAACTCCACACTGGAAGCTAGAATCTTGCTTATTTTCCATAAGTAGTTTCCTGTTGACTGCTTACCTGCCTCCCCACCCACCCCTTGGGGAGCTCACCCCTCCTATTTCCATGTTGGGTGGCTCTGGCAGGAGGTTAAATATGCTTTCTTAGGTATTGCCAGCTTCTAGGGCCACTCCTTGGCCTAACCAGCGTGATAGGTTTGCTCCCTTCCAAGGAGGGCTGCCTTGGAGTGCCCACCTGGTGTTCCTTGCCCCGTGGGCCTTGGGTTGGATGCAGAAGCCCAGGCCTGTCCTCACCTTTCTTTTCCTCACCCCTCATAGGTCCTGCCCTTCTCACATCTTATCCTGGCCACAGGCAGCGCTGGGCTCTTCCCTGGCAAATTGAACCAGGTTTCCAGCCAGCAGGATGCCATTCAGGCCTATGAGGCCATTGTGAAGCAGGTGAGCTGCCCGCTGACCCGAGGCAGGGCAGCAAAGGAAGACTGGGTGGCCCCTGGGGGAGCAGAACAGCTGTGGGGATACTTGGGACGACAGCAAGGAGATCCCAGGAGCTGCTCGGAGCTGTGACCATGGTTGTAAAGATGGGGAGTTATTAGAAAGAGATTCCTGGGTGGAGCCCTTTGGATCTGTCATCAAAGTGTGGCCGTTAGCACCGAGACCTGTTCACGTATCGATTGGCGTGTCCCCAGCTCCTCTCTGTCTTGGAGCTCCCAGTTGCACTGGGCCTTGTGGTTTGTAGAGCAGGCTTGGATCTGTGACCTCAGTCAGCTTTCACAGTGATCCTGAGAGGTGGTGGGATGGGTCTATCCCTGTTGAATAATGAGGAGTGGAGACCCTGAGAAGGATTTCAGGGTGAGTGCTGCCACATGACTAAGGCCAGCTCTTTTTTTTTTTCCTCCAATGATTTTACTGGGGAATTGGGGAGGGGGACCAGCCAAGTTGTTGTTCTTCAGTCTTCGTTGTGGAGGGCGCCAGTCGCCATCTGGCTTCCCATCGGCAGCTCGTGGCCTCTAAGCTCAAGGTGCTGTTTTCAATCTTAGTTGCGGATAGGCATAGCCACCATCCCATGTGGGAGTCAAACCCGGCAACCTTGTTGGACTAAGTCCAGATCTTTCCCTCTCTGCGAAGCTCCTGAGAAAACTGGGGAGAGCAGACATTAATGTGGAGGTTAGAAACCCAGCTTTGAACTCAGACAGACCTGGGCCATGGGGATGGGAAAGGTGAACAAGTCGTAATACCTGCCTCTTGGGGCAGCTGTGAGAATCAAGTGAGAAAATATAGAGAGGCACCCAGCAAGTGCCTGGCCCTGAAGAAGTACCTTTAGACCTTGAATTTAGAAAGATCTCTACTCTCCTTGGCCAAGGAACTGCCACCATAGGCTGGCCCATGAGGCGAGGCGGGGCGGGGGCGGGGCGCATTTGACGTTTCCTTCTGCTCCAGGTGCAGCGCTCACAGTCCATTGTGGTGGTAGGAGGAGGCTCTGCGGGAGTGGAGATGGCAGCAGAGATTAAAACAGAGCACCCTGGGAAAGAGGTGGGCAGGCGGCCTCGGCTTTGACCTCACGGAGGTCCGCTTCTTTCTTTGTTGTCTAAAGAAAACCAGGAATTTGCTAAGGGCCTGGGAAGCAGAGCTCCCTTACTATAAAGCGGGAGTGTATGTTTTCCCATTTCCTGCTCTTTCTACTGGAGGATCCGCTAACGTCCTCATCTGCTAGGAATTTTTCCTGGAGAGCCCAAATGTGTCCTAGTTCAATGACGGCTCCTGCCTTCTGGGCCAGCCAGGAGAATCAAGTCCAGGGGAGACACAAGAGGTTATCACCCGTGTCCCCACCTTTGCAATCTAGACATAGACTTTGATGACCTCTTTTTGCTGACAACTAGCTTGGTCAAAGGCATTCTTAGTTAGTTTTTTCTGTCTGGGAAAGCAGTGGCTTTTTTTTTTTTTTTTTGTCTTTAAGAGACAGTAGTCCTTGCTCTGGACAGCCACCTCGGGAGAGCCTGCAGTGCAGCCCCTCACTGCGTGTGCTGGGAAAGGACTGGCCAGCATTGCCTCATGCCCACAGGAGGGTGGCCCTGTTCCCTTTAAATGATGGATGGGTAGAGCGTCTGCCTGGCACCCTGGGAAGAGAGAGCACATCCTGGCAGCTATAAAGGCTCAGCCGAGGGCTGAATAATGATCAGTAATTATGGGCCCTGGAGCAAGAGCTTGCAGTCGAAGCCAGATCCGCTTCTGAGAGCCCCACGGAGCCTGTGGCTGATTCGTTTTCCCTAGGGAGACAGATTGGTTTTGACGAGTGAGATCGATATGGGCTAGTTTAATTATACAGCTCTTCTCTGAAAAATTGTTGGAAATTATTATGAGTGATTAACGTAAAAATTCATTCATTTTGATTTATGGGGTAAAGTCCAGTCTGCAGTGAGAAGTAACTCAGTCTAACTTCTGTTTATAATTAGTAGACAAATAAGAGTAATAGTAGCCACCCTTTAGTAAGGACTCAATAGGTGCTGAGTTATGTGCTTTATACACATTTCCTGATTTCATCCTTATAAAATTCCTATGAGTGAGACAGTGATCCTGTCTTACTGAATTGTTGAGCAGTGTCCAAGTGAGCATCTGAGATGGGATTTCAATACGGGCAGTCTGATTTCAAAGTCTGAGCTTTGAACACAGTTCCAAGCTGCCTCCCACTTCCTTGTGCTGACCCAGACAGCAATTAGATGTGCCTGGAAGTGCCAATTTTAGAACCAGCTGTAATGTAAATGTCAGCCTGATTTACAGTTAGAACGCCTATGGCTTATATATATAGACTGTATAATCATAAGCACCCAAGGGTGCTTGAAAATAACTTTCCATGTGGCCCTAGGTGAGGTGTGGGCTGTGGAGCATGGACGCATTCTGAGAGTCCTAGACCAGGAGACATGCCTCCAGCCCAGCTCCCTGTTAGTGTGCTGGTTCTGGTGCTGAGCAGATTATCTCGCTTGGGCCTCAGTTTCCTCACCTGTAAACTAGGGGTAGGGGAGGAGGAGGGGGAGATGGGCTGATGTGTTTTAAAGCCTCTTCATATGAGCAGGAGACTCAGTGGCTCATTCTCTGTCCTGTGGTTGTTTGTCCCCAGGTCACTCTCATTCACTCCCAAGTGGCCCTCGCCGACAAGGAGCTCCTGCCCTGTGTCCGGCAGGAAGCAAAGGAGATTCTGCTCCGGAAAGGCGTGCAGCTGCTGCTGAGTATGTGCAAGTTCCCCTCCTGCCCTGGCCCCCTTCCTGGCCTAGTGAGACTGGCCTCAGAGGCGTGGTCACTGCCCGCCGCTTGAAGGTGGCTCCGCTCATCCCCAGGCTCTCTGTGTCCTGGAGTTGAGCATCAAAGCCCGTTTGAATCCTGTTGTCCAGCTGGCAGTTGTGTCCGTCCTTGGGCAGAGCAGAGGCCCTATAGTACCTATGGGATTTCCACATCACGGAGGCAGCACTGTCCTGGCTACTGCTTTGGACATAGGCTGGTGGTACCTATGTGCTGAATGATTTAAAAAATCACCCAAAGGATTTGACCTGAATTATGATGTCTCTGTGGTGGAGAGAATAGGCTTGTTGGCTTGGACTTTGAGGGTGGTGAAGAGTGTGGTTTTTTGTCTAGAGCAGGAGGGAAGAAAATCAACCAGCATGCTAGAGAGTGAGCTTCTAACCCCAATGGTATGACCCCCACACTTCACGGGGCTCAACCTCCTTGTTTTTTTCAGGGCTCTTTGAAAGCCCATCCTGGCTGTTGGTTTCCTTGTACCTGGCTCTACAGCACTGTGACCACTTTACTTTCAGGCAGTGAGGAGAGTAGGCTGGCTTCTTGACTTTCCTTTCTTCCTCTTTGTGTGCCTGGAGGGCTCGTCCAGCCTGGTCAGGATGGTGTAGCTGACAGAGAGGTGTGCTGGAGGTCTTCCTCACATAGCCTCAAATTGCTTCTTGGAACTTTCCTTCCATTGGATCTGTTGGAGTGAGATGTCCAGATGGTGCTTCTTGGGGCAGCAGAGTGGACTGGGAGAGGGGCAGCAGGGAAGGTGGGACTGCAATCACTTCCCAGTTGGTTCACCACGTCTAGGCCTTTCCCTTGGGTCTCTAGCCTTCCCTATGTCAGCCTTGGCTTGGACCCCAGCCTTGGTGACGTGCCCACCTTCTGCCAGCCTCCTGGTCACAGACCTCCCTTGACAGGTGAGCGGGTGAGCAACCTGGAGGAGCTGCCTCTCAACGAGTATCAAGAGTGCATCAAAGTGCAGACGGACAAAGGCACTGAGGTGGCCACCAACCTGGTGATTGTCTGCAACGGTATCAAGATCAACAGCTTTGCCTACCGCAGTGCATTTGGTAAGCAGGAGGGGGAGCTGTTGTTCACTCCCCAGGTTGCCTCCTCACTCTCCAGCCACCTAAGAAGGCCCCACAGGCCTCTCCCCAGGAATCGGCACCACCGTGCCTTCCCCTTCCATCCCAGCAGCTCATTTGTGTCTCCTGAATGGTGGTATCAAACTTTAAATTCAGGTTCGGGCCAACTCTTAACTGTGCTTTCCTCTGCTGTGACGATGATGACTTAGCCCAAGATGTCCCAAGTCAACACAATCTTCCAAAATTGGGACCTGCCCTCTAGTGATGAGAGATGGGAACAAGTTTCAGAGAGACGAAAAAGATCCATTTTCTGTTCTTTGGAACACAGATGTGAGGGAGCTCCAGGGTCAGGTCTTTCTCTATTCACAGGTGTACTGCTCTCCCCAAACCCTAATCCAAATGTTTGGTCACTTGAGCTTGGGTAGTAGGGGCAGTAATGTGGCCTCATGTTCCTAAAGCTCAGTGTTGAACGACCTAGAGGTGGAGCTGGTGGATTGATGGCCTCCATGTGTGAGCTGGAGGCTCAATGGCTCAATGTCAGGCCCCATGGTTGCTGTGTCCCCAGGTCCCCATCATTAATTCCTGAGTATTCCTCATGCACAAGGAGCTCTTGCTTGGTGCCCTGCAGAAAAGACGTATCTAATCCCCGAGGAAGGAAGCTAACACAGGCTAGGTGTGGAAGTGGGACTAAGGGCTTATACTGGACAGAGATCCCAGAATTTAACACCTAATTGTCCTAGTGTTATATTTTCAAAGATAAACGTTTTTTAATTCCTTAAAATGAAAAGTTTATCATTTGTTAAAGCCCTGCATTTATTTTAAAAATCTGATCCACGTTCAAAAGAAAATTCAAGACTTGGCTCAGTAGTAAACTTAATCATTATATTATAGACTAACCATGGTAACTTATAAAGAGTTTTGCACGTTATATAAAATGACACCTGTTATGTTTCTGACCAGTTTCCACCCTGGAATAGTAACCTTGCCTTTGCAGGAAGAGTTCTGAGGTGGGCACTTGGGGCAGAAATAAATTAGCGGGGAGGCTTGCCTCTGAAGGCTGTGCCTTTGGAGGGTGGTTTGACCAGCACTAGAGCTTCTCTTCACCATGTTCTGGGGGCCACTTAACACGGCAGCTCAGGATCTTGGTTTTGTGTTGGTTTTCCTGGCAGAGAGTCAGCTGGCCAGCAATGGTGCTCTGAGGGTGAACGAGTATCTGCAGGTGGAGGGCTACAGCCACATCTATGCCATCGGTGACTGTGCCGATGTGAAGGAGCCCAAGATGGCCTATCATGCTGGCCTCCATGCCAAGGTCGCAGTGGCCAACATCGTCAACTCCACACAGCAGAAGCCCCTCAAGGCCTACAAGCCGGGTAAGGGAGCCCTATGTGCTTCATAGTTTTAAGACAGTGGGGGTTAGACAGGGTGAAGACTTTGTGGGCTTGGAGATAACTGACTGCTACAACAAACTTTCAAAGCTGGTGTCAGAAACATGCCCTAGAGTGCTTTAAAAATAAATTGAGAATTGATAAATAAATGTTTGAATTGCAGGCCTACAAATGGTGAGCAGGATTCCAGTTTTTGCCTCTCCTCCACAGGTGCACTGACCTTCCTCCTGGCCATGGGGAGAAATGACGGCGTGGGCCAGATCAGTGGCTTCTATGTGGGGCAGTTCATGGTGCGGCTGGCCAAGAGCCGGGACCTCTTCGTCTCCACAAGCTGGAAAACCATGCGGCAGTCTCCACCCTGATGGGGAGTCTGGGTGGGGGATGAGGTGCCGCCGCCACCCGCTGAATGGATTGCTTGACCAATGGTACCCACCTGACAAGTGCTAAAGGGCAGGTGCTCTTTTTCTAAAGGAAGATGCCAGTGATGTACTGACCAGAAACACAACTTACAGAAAACCGAAAATGGAGAGAGAGACAGACATTAAAAAAAGACACCCCTAGAGGATTCTTCCTGGGTTTGGAAAGGTCTGCTTGCCCTTTGCTGACTGAAGGCTTCACTTGGTCCTGGAGGGCAGCGGAGGGCACAGCCGGCCTTCTCTACCCCAGGATGTGTGCGTATGTGTGCACATGGGGTGTGGCATTCAGAGCTCTCAGAGTAGAGAGAGCTGGGTCTCCAGGCGGCTGGCATCCCATCCATAAGGTCAGGAAGGAGGGCCTGCAAAGTGAGACCAGCTGAGGAAGAGAGGCTGGAGTGGAGAGATGGCCTGCATCCCAACCTCTCCCATTGTTCAAGGGAAGCCAATACATCCTGTAACACCCAGACTCTTAATAGGAGTCTAATTGTTTTTAAAGATTTTTTATTAAAAATATAGTTAGCATACAATATTATGTTAGTTTCAGGTGTACACCATAGTTATTTAACATTTATGTACCTAAAGAAGTGATCACCGTGATAAGTCCAGCACCATCTGACACCGTATCACACTATCATAATATTATTGACTATATTCCCTATGCTGTACATTACATCTCCATGACTTATTTGTTTTACACCTGGAAATTTGGACCTCTTATTCCCCTTCACCTTTCCTCCCCTGCTTTTTAATTTCTCAGTTACAATTGACATTCAATATTATTTTAATTTCAGGTGTACAGCATAATGGATAGACATTCATATAATTTAAGATGTGATCCGCTTGACTAGTCTAGTACCCACCTGGCACTATACACATTTATTACCATATTATTGACTATATTCCTTATGCTTTGCTTTACATCCCCATGATTATTTTGTAACTACTAATTTGTACTTCTTAATCCCTTCACCTTTTTCACCCTGCCCCCCAAACTTCCTCCCATCTGGCAACATCAAAATGTTTTCTGTATCTATGAGTCTGTTTCTATTTTGTTTGTTTATTTTGTTATTTAGATTCCACATATAAGCGAAATCACATTGCATCTGTCTTTCTCTGTCTGACATACTCCACTCAGCACAATACCCTCCAGGTCCATCCAAGTCACTGCAGATGGCAAGAACCCATTCCCTTACATGGCAGAGCAATATTCCATTATATGTATGTATCACCTCTTCTTTATCCATTCTTCTACTGACGAAGGACAACCAGGCTGCCTTCACATCTTAGCCATGGTAAACAGTGCCGCAATGAATGATATGGATGCACACGTTCCCTTGAAGTAGCGTTTTGGGTTTCTTATGATAAATACCCACAAGTGAGATTACAGGGTCCTTCTTTGTCTTTTGTTATAACCTTTGTTTTAAAGTCTATTTTGTCTGGTATAAGTATTGCTACCCCAGCTTTTGTTTGTTTGTTTGTTTGTTTCAATTTTCTTGAAGTAACTTTTCCATCCCTTTACTTTCAGTCTGTGTGTGTCTTTCAATCTAACGTGAGTCTGTTGTAGGCAACATATGTAAAAATTTTGTTTTCTTATCTATTCAGCCACCCTATGGTGGAACATTTAATCCACTTTCATTGAAAGCAATTGTTTATAGATATGTAGTTATTATTATTTTCCATTTTAAAGAATTTCCTCTAACAGTCCTTCTAATACTGGTTTGGTGGTGGTGAACTCCTTTAGCTTTTTCTTGCCTGGGAAACTGTTTATCTGTTCTTCAATTTTAAATGATAGCCTTGATGGGTAGAGTAATTTTGGTTGTAGGTCCTTGCTTTTCATCACGTTGAATATTTTGTGCCCATCCCTTCTGGTCTGCAAAGTTTCTGTTGAGATATCAGCTGGTAGTCTTATGGGAGCTCCTTTGTAGGTAACTAACTGCTTTTTTCTTGCTGCTTTAAAAATTGTCTTTAACCTTTGCCATTTTAATTATGTGTCTAGGTTTGGACCTGTTTGGGTTCATCTTATTTGGGACTCCCTGAGCTTCCTGGGCTTGTATGTCTATTTTCTTTGCCAGGTTAGGAAAGTTTCCAGTCATTATTTCTTCATATAGGCTCTCCATCCCTTGCTTTCTCGTCTCCTTCTGGTACCCCTATGATGTGAATGTTGTTAGGCTGGATGTTGTCCCAGAGGGCTCTTAAATCATCCTCATTTTTTTTTTCTTTTCATTTTTCTGTTCTGATTGGGTGTTTTCTGCTACCTTGTTTTCCAAATCGCTGATCCTATCCTCTGCTTCATCTAGTCTGCTGGTGGTTCCTTCTAGTGCATTCTTCATTTCAGTTGTTGTATTCTTCACTTCTGACTTGTGAGTGTGTGTGTGTGTGTGTGTGTGTGTGTGTGTGTGTGTGTGTGTGGTTTCTATGTCCTTTTTATGCTTGCTATCTCTTTGTTGAAGTTCTAAGTTCCTTGAACACCCTTAGGACCATTGTTTTGAACTCTGCCTCTGGTAGGTTGCTTGCCTCCATTATCGTTTAGTTCTTTTCCTGGAGTTTTCTCCTGTTTGTTCATTTGGGATGTATTTGTTTCCTCATTTTGGCTGCCTTTCTTTGTTTGTTTCTATGTATTACGTAGGGCTGCTATGTCTCCCAGTCTTGCTGGGTTGCCTTATGTAGTAGGGGTCATGTGGGGCCCAGTGGCTCAGTCTCCCTGGTAACCTGCTCCGGGTGCTCCAGGACTGTCCCTTTTGTGGACTGCATGCCCTCTGTTATAGTTGAGACTTGATTGCTGTTGACATGTCAGTGGGTGGGATTGACCCTTAGGCTGACTGGCTGTGGGGTTTGGCCATGTCCACAGCTTGTGGGTTGCTTTATGGGAGGCATACCCCCACAGAGCAGGATTTGCCCCAGGGAACTCTGGTGTCTGTTAAGACTGCCCTTTGTGTGTGCCACTTGTGGGGCTAATTGGGCAGTGTTCTGCTGTGGTCTGAAGTTAACTTCCAAGTATGTTGGTTCTGGGGCCTCTTGCGAGGGGCTCCATTGCAGACCCAGGTCAGCCACAACCGGTGACCAGCTGGGGAGTACCTGGTAGGAGCTACAAAGTGATACAGGGTTGGTTGCTGCCTGTGTTATACCTGGAGGCGTGTGGGAGAAGCTGCGCTGCGAACTGAAGATGGCTGCCACCAGTACCAGGTCTGGGGTAGCTCTGCAAAACGCCAAGACACTCTGAGGCCTTCTGCCACCTGCCAGTTCCTGTAAGATTCAGCCGCGGATAAAGCCTGGTGCGGTACAGAGTTGGGTGAGGCGGGGTCTCAGTGAGTCAGCAGGATGGAATGAGCAGAGCTCACCAGACCAATCAGATTTAGCATTGGCCTGTGGGGGCGGGCTCAACACAGCAAAGATGACTCCCACCTGCCGGCTGCACTGGAGGGCCCCACAGAGAGAAAATGGGCTTTCCCTCCAGTCCTCACCCTGAAGTTACACATCTCAGTTCTCCCCATATGTCTCTGATGCCCCCAGAGTCACCAACCCTCCACTGGAGCCCAAGGTGAGTGCCAGTGCAGGCCCTTTAAGAGGGTGTCTGTGTTTCCCACAGCCTTCTGTCCTATCCTGATGGTCGGAATCCCGTGTTTTTCACAGCCAGACATGGGGGCTCCTCTTCCCGGCACCAGCACTCCGGGCTGTGGAGCTTGGTGTGGGAGGCTGTGGTCCCTTGCTCCTCCGTGGGGAACCTCTGTGGCTGAGGTCTCTCTCCCTGTTTTCAACCGCCGCATGGAGGTTTGGGACAAGCTTGTTTCGCTCCTCCTACCAGTCTTGATGTGGCTTCTTTATACCTTTAGTTATAAAACTTCTGTTCAGCTAGACTTCAGATGGTTCTCCAGGTTGATTGTTCTATAATTTAGTTGTAATTTTGATGTGTTCACGGGATGAGCGAAGCACAGTGTTTATTCCGCCATCTTGGACCTCCCATAGCTCAACAGGAACCTAATGTTAAACTGTTAGTCCCTACAATCTTTAATCTTCACGAAACCTTCTAGATTCCCATCTTTAGATCCTGATTATATATCATAGGTTATATTTAAGAAGAGAGAAAAATTTACCTCCAGGTTCATTCTAACAGGGTGAATTTTTACAAAGCTAGCAGGAGTTAAGACCAAATCCTGGCCTGCCAGCTGCTGGAGGTGTTTAAGGAAAGGCAGCCAAGCTAATGTGACCTTTGAGTGGGTTGCCATACGGTTAACATTCATAGAGCAGATTGGGGGGTTCAGCAGGTGAACCCCTGTGCACTTCCAGCCTGCTGTCATGGACAAATCTGTAAGTGACAAAACTCCAGTTGATGTTGGGGGACCCTGGGGGAACCTTTGTGGTTTTGTGCTTCTGGTTTCCTGGCCAACCCTAATGTCACTTATCTTGAGGGCCAGCCATGCGGTAGTAATGCCTGCCACCGGCTATGTTAAAGTATATAAATGATTCGTCCATTTGGGAGAGAACTTCTAATCTGGAGGATCCTATTTTGGACCACAGAAGTTAATTCTCTACAGAGGAAGTAGGTGATGAATTCATCTGAGGCCCTGCCTCTGCCCATCCTGTTCCTCCTGCCCATTTTTGATGGTGGCCTCTGGGTACTTGGCCAGAGAGTCCTTGAACACCAGCCTCAATGGGGACCTTAGTCCATCCTGCCTGGGCTGTGCTCCGGACCTAAGTGAGACATGTGCCTCTCTTGCAAAGGGTAGCTGCCCCACTGGCGCTTCGCCCAGGGCTGCGTTCCTGTGGACCAAGGCCAAACAGGCCCTCCTTTTGGAGGCAGGACCTGCTGCCTGAGAAACACAGACCATTTTGTGCTATCTGACCTGGGACCTAGCAAGGCGGCAGTCTCAGCCCATTAAGAGACATGCCTTGTTCTATTTGTTAACATTCTAGACATGTCCGCCCATGGGGACACAGTTTTCCAAACTCAGGAAAATGTTTCAATAAAAGAATATGTTTTAAGAAAGACACTGGATCTTTTATTTTTTTTTTCCTTTCATTTTCTTTTTCTTTAAAAACAAAACAGAAAAAAAGCCTGAAGCAAAACCGTTTTAGGAGTAGTTACAGATATTATAGGGGTGGGGGTGGGGGCACTAAAACAGAAACGAAAAGCACCAGTGAGATGCCTTTCTAATTTCTTCTCTCCATAATTGAATACAGACAACCAACAAAGCCCGAGTCACTTATATGCCCTCCTCCCTTGCAAAAAAGTAGAAACAGAAGACTTAAGAATTTTGAAAGGATTTGTGTGTGTGTGTGTGTGTGTGTGTGTGTGTGTGTGTGTGTAAAAGTCAATGCTATAAATCTAAAACGAAGTCTGTTTTTTTTTTAAAAAGTTCTAAAACAACAGGAAAAAAACATGGAAAGAACCCCTCGTGGAGACCTGGTTTTTAGGACGGAGGCTCTTTTTAACAAGAATATAAAATACAAAGGGCTCCTTTGATGGGCAGGACCTGCTCCCACAGCCTCAGCTACCCGCTCCCCTTCAGCTGCCCTCTGCTCCTCTGCGTCACCTTTCCTTTCTGCTTTTAAAAAATAAAACCTGCTTCTGTGACTCTGCTCGTCCTCCAACTCCTGCTGGAAAGTGCAGCCGCAGCTGGGGCGGCTACTTGGTGTCGAGCTTGGCCATCTCCTGCACGTAGATGCCTATGCTCTCGCTGTCGAAGAGCAGGAAGTAGACGTTCTTCAGCGAAGACGTGCTTGAGTCGTCGAAGTGGGCTGAGATGGCTTTGAGGGTCACCTGGGCGGCTGTCTGTTTGGGGAAGCAGTTTCTGTGCCAGAGGAAAAGAAAAGTCCATGTCACTTTGGTTCCCAGGGATACATGGAGTAACTTAGCCTAGGGTGGGGTAACGCAGGTCTTTCTTATCTTGGCACTGGGCCCCAGTTTCTATCGCATGGGGGTCTCGCTGTGTGCAGCTGGTTCACACATGATCTCCGTTGATGCTCATCAGAGGGATGGCCTGGGGGGTGGGGGAGCAAGCAGAGGATGTGTCCCCACTTTACAGGTGCCACACTGACTCAGAGGGGCAGTGGTTTTAGCCAAGGTCGTAGGGCTGGCCTGTGAGTGGTGCCCTGTGCTTGAATCTATGTAGCCTGACTCAAGTCGAGCTCAGCTTTAAAAACACTACCAAGGGCCGGCCGAGTGGCGCAATGGTTAAGAACTCGCTTGGGATGCCAGAGGGCCCCGGTTCGGATCCCACATATGAGGGCCAGTGACACTGCCCTCCACAGCTAAGATGCTGAACAACAGCTCAACCTGGAGCTGGGCTGCCATGAGTCGCCGGCGACGGCATGGGCTGCAGTCCCTGTGGCAGTGGATTGCCATGGGCTACCGTGTGTGGCCAGCAGCCAGCGTGAGCGGCCAGCAGCCGCAGTGAGCGGCCGTCCAGAAGCCGGCGACTGATCTGCCTCGCCAGAGAAGAGCGCAATGATGGTGCCAACTTGGGCCAGTGAAGCAACGTCCTCCACAACTAGATTGAAGAACAAAGCGACAGCAACTTGTCTGTTCCCCTTTCCCCAATTCCCCAGCACTGTTCCCATCCCCCCAATTCCCCAATAAAAATCTTAAAAAAAAAAAAACACTACCAATTCAGCATTTCAAACACTTGGTCTTCAAAAAAAGCACATAAAGGTTTTATTAACTCCCACAAAACTGGTTTATGTGATAAACAAATTTTAAAGGGCAAAAATATGTGCTCAAAACCGTGTCTTCTTAATTCCTTTTTCATGCACTTAATGTTCCTCTCATCAACCCATATAGTTGTACAAATGTTATTTCAGCAGTGGTGACTCCGGGCAGGGCCCTAAGCATCAGGAAGCCATGATAGAGCTGTCTGCCAGGGTGTGCCATGGCACCAACCTCCAGGGACACAGCTATCGTGGTTATTTGGGGTCAGCCACCAAGCCCCTTTGAGTAGGTACAGGATGGGCCTGCCTAAGGTGAATTTTCACTTGTATGTAGTGTCCCAATTCAAACATCATGGCACATGGTCCCAGCTATGCAAAGAATTCAGCCTGCAGCCTCTGGGTTGGGCTGTGGGGACCCAGTGCTGCTTGCTTAGGTTGGGGATAGGATTACAGCAGGAAGCTAGGCCTCTTAGCCTTCCCAGGCTGTAACAGAATGTCTTTAGCATACAAATCACATCTATGTCACAGGGGCATCCATCTCTTTTGAGAGGGTGTTCAAAATCAAAGCGATAACTTGCTGTGACAATGAGCGGATATGAGGAGAGGAAATGCTGCATGTGAGGGCAGATACCCTCATTACTTACTGGAAATACTGTTCTTGTGCCCGGTTGGGGTCTGTGATAATTAGAACAATCATTTCTCCTAACCCCCAAAAGCAATTCTAGGTGAGAGCGTTGCATCTCTCTGGGTGTGCATGTCAGAGCCTCAGCCTCCCGCCCCCCAGAGCAGCACAGGAATCCCCTGGGGGGTTCTGAGGTACCGTGTTTCCTGGAAAATAAGACTTAACCGGAAAATAAGCCCTAGCATGATTTTCAGGGTGCTCGTAATATAAGCCCTACCCCAAAATAAGCCCCAGTTAAGATAGTCAGCCAGACATGAGTGTATTTGAATAAATGTAGATTTTTGTCCATGAATAAATGAATAAAATGCATCTTTTGGAGCAAAAATTAATATAAGACCTGGTCTTATTTTCAGGGAAACACGGTAGTAGGTCTAGGGTGGGTCTGAGATTCCACATTTTAACCTGGTGGGGTTGCTGCTGCTGGGCCATGGACCACACTTTGAGTGGCAAGGCCTTTGAGCCTGATGTTTTCTGATCATGTGTCCTAGACAGGGACAGCTGGATGGAATGTGGGTTTTTAACTCTCAAAAAAGAATTCTGCTTTCTGTTCCTCTCCAAAGCTGCCTTTTTCTGTGTGTTTTGAAGGATAGAGACTGGGTTTCTTGCCCTGTCATCTGGTCAGCATGCTTGGATGTGATGGCAGCTCTTGGTCATGTCTTCTGGAATGGCCAGAGAGCATGTGAATAAGTGGGAGAGCCACTGGTTCCCAGGGAGAAGGCCGGAAGAATAAACTTAGAACCTCTCGCCTGCGTGGAGACTCGCCTCTTACCTGCCACTGGGGAAAGGCGGGAAGGCGACAGACTTTAGCTTCTTGTCTTCTGCTGCCGAGAGGCAGTTTTTGATGGTCTCTTCAAGCTGCTCTTCACATTTGTCAGAGCCCCACTGTGGCATGTGACAGTGGATGACAAATTTGGCTGCAAGTCCACTGGATTGGCTGACGGCGGCTGTGACAGGGGAGAGAAACGCGGCAGGTTATTTCCTAGTCTTCACCTTAAGTCAGGGGGTTAAGCCGAAACTCACATGAATCTGTTAGATGTGTATATGTGTGTGTGTGTGGGGGGGGAGGAGTATGAGACGGGGGGCAAAGAGGCGATAGAGATGTTGACAGGACAGCATTCCATGTTTCTGATGGGGACTGTACATTTACAGAGAGCAGGAGCTGTAACAGAATTGATTTAGATGGTCAGCACAAGCTTGAGATACATGTTTTAAAGCTGACGTGACAGTACGTGACTTCCATGTGGTCCGCCACCTAGTCTCCAGGTTAGGCTGCCTGCTCACGATGGTTCCTGGTCAAAGGTACACATCAGAATCACCGCTGGTGGCTGAGGAAGGGCCGTCCCCAAGTATCCGCACCCCAATCCCTGGAACCTGTGCATGTTTCCTTACATGGCAAAATGGACTTTGCAAACGGGGTTCAGTGAGATTTTTGAGATGGGGAGATTTTCCTTGCAAGAGGAGGCAGGAAGGTCAAGGTAGGAGAAGGTGATGTGATGGTGGAGCAGAGATCAGAGAGAAGTGGTCAGGTGCCAGGGGACGCAGCTGTAACAGGCAAGAAACAGCTTCTCTGAGAAGAAGCCAGCCCAGCCAACACCTTGATTTTAGTTTAACATTGCTGGGGATGTCTGACCTCCACGACTCTTTTAAGAGAATAAATCTGTGTTGCTTGAAGGCACTAAATTTGTGGTCATTTGTTAAGGCAGTGATAGGAAACAGATACAATGGCTTTTAAGCTTTTAACAAATAGGCATGTCCGCACCCCACCCCTTACCCTGAGATCCTGACTTAGCAGGTCTGGTACAGGACTTGTGCCAGTGACTTAGGACCCTCTGTAAGCTGGGAGCCACTGCACGTAGCCTTACACTCCCTTAGACAGGGATTGTCTTTTGATCATCTCTACATACCTGAGGAGCCTATAAAAAGCAGGTGTTCACATGGGTTGTGACATGTGCCCTAGGTCCAATATGTGCCCAACAAAACCATTTCTCACTCCTGAAACCCAATTCCCTTTTCTCCCTCTCTGTCACTGGTACACCAGTCGGCTTCCTCAGACCTGTCTCATTCCGGGTCCATCTGCTTCATTTCTACCACAACCTCCGACCCTGACCCATCCAGCGTCCCAGCTGAAATCAGGATGCATCTTACAGCCACTGTCAACCTGGACTGAACTGAGTTCTTCCATAGAGAAGTTGCATTTGCTTCTGTCACCTGGAGACACTACCAGACCAAGGTCATGTCCCACTAACTTCCCTGCCTGAGGTTTTTGGGCCGCCCTGAATTCTGCTGCAAATCTGCAGGAATACTGGCATGGAGTTCAAATTCTAGAGTGAGGCTCTTTTTCCCCTCGGTCCACCCAATGCCAAAGTCAAGATACAGACTTGCTGCCCTTTCTACATGGTGGCTTCACGTCTTGCTGTTCTTAAACTGAACATGTCCTGGCTTTATGTGCCCCTAACTAGACACCCTATCTTGGAAATTTATTCTTTCTTAATGGAATATACAATAGGGCATATTTTACAAGGAATGGTGTTTTGAAACTAAGTGACCCTGATGAATTATATCCCCTTTTCCAGATTCACCTCCACCAGTCCCTTCTTTCCAGGTAGCTACCGTGTCCAGGCCACGGAGACTTAGACCTAACAGATTTATACCAATTTCTTAGCTCATGATTGTTCCCTGCAGCCTTCTCCTTCCTCCTGGATTCACTTGTTCCTCCCAGTAAGGCCTCTATCATCCTTTCAGTGAATGTCTGTGGATTTCTGACTCTCAGCTTTTGCACGTCTGAAACTGTGCATCGTTGGTTTTCCATCTTGAATAATAACACAGTAACATGGAATTCTTGGTTGACAGTTTTCCCCCCTCAGTGTCTCCAAGCATCCTTTGTAGCTACTAAGTCTGCTGTCAGGATAACAGTTTACAAACAATCTGCCCTCAATTTTGGGGCTGCTTTTCAGGTTTTTCCTGTTTTGTGAACTTCTGAAGTGTCACCATGATGGGCCAGGTTTTGGATTTCTTTTCATTTATTTTTTTTATTTTAAATTTTTTTTGTTTTTTTGTTAGGGTTAGGGACAGGGTGAGGGTTAGGGTTAGTGTTAGGGACAGAGTTAGGATTAGGATTAGGGTTAGGGAAAGGATTAGGTTTAGAGTTAGCATTAGTGTTAGGGACAAGGTAGGGTTAGGGTTAGGTTTAGGGACAGGGTTAGGGTTAGGCTTAGGGTTAGGGACAGTGTTTGGGTTAGGGTTAGGGTTAGGGACAGGTTTAGTGTTAGGTTTAGTGTATGGACAGGCTTAGGGTTAGGGTTAAAGTTAGGGACATGGTTAGGGTTAGGGTTAGGGTTAGAATTAGGGATAGGGTTAAGGTTAGGGACAGGGACAGGGTTCTATTTTCATTTATTATACTCAACATTTTTAACCTGAGGACTCACGGGTTTCATTCTGGAAAAATTTCAGCCACGATCTTTTAAAAATACTGCTTCTCTACCTTCTATTTTCTGCCTCTGGAACTCTGTTTCGAAAGGTGCTGGAGCCTCTCATCCTATGTAGAGCAGCTATTTTTCCTCTTCTTTCCACCCTGCCAAGCAGTTTGCTGGGACCTCCCCCAGAACCCCCAATCCAGATCAATCTTATGTGGCCAATTCAGGGCTTTGTGTCATGGTGACGTAGGGGGTGTGGTAGACCCAGACATTGAGCCAGTGGGCAACCTGGCCCCCAGGCCTGGGTGAGGGGCTCCCTGCTCCCTTCGGCTACCCTAGAAAACAGATTTCACACAAGCTACAGCCCTGGGTGGTGGTCAGGACTAAAGGCCATGGGAGTTTTATCCATCACTGAGCCTGGCTCTGGTCCCCTCCAAGAGTGAGGTGACTCCGGTCCCATCACCATGTTAAGAGGTGACCTCCTGATGGTTCTGCATATTCTCAGACCTGGAGTCCAGTGTCTGCAGCTTAGACCTGTCACGTGCAGTTCTCCTATCCATGCCCACATGTATGTTTGTCTTATATTTCAATGTAACTGTTTGAAAATGTTAAAAAAGAAACTATTATTGCTATATGTATGGGGAGTGGTGTGTGCAGACTGTAAAGTGTGAACTCATGTTCTTTCTTAACTGGAAGCCCCATTACTTTTCCAGCAATCAAATCTGATCCTGACAGTCCCCAGCGCAAACTTTCAAAGGTGCCCCTCTTGTCTACATAGGGTCTCCTACCTGCTGCTCCCTGCTGACTCATGAGCTGAACCTTCTCACACACAACACCCTTAAGGCCACAATGTCCTTGTAAGTGGGTCTTACACCCTTATGGAGCCTTCTCGACTCCCCCAAGCAGAGGGCAAGCTTAGAGTCCTGTTCCCATCTCTCTGTGCCCCACTTATGTGCCTGCTTTTCTTCCTAGACTGTCCAGTGCTTGAGAGCAGGGGTGGGATTTATTGTCTTTGGAGCCCCAGCATCAGGGATGCAGTTGGCAGTGACTACATGGTCACTGGGGGTGGTGTAGGTGGGGACATAGATTTGAAGTTGGACCTACTTGCCAAAAAATTACCCAACAATCTTGAAAACCGTTGTTCAAACAAAAACTTGTGCACAAATATTCATAGCAGCTAAAGGTGGAAACAGCTAAATGTGGAAACAACCCCCCAAGTGATGAATGGATAAACAAAATATTATTGAGCCATAAAAAGGAACAAGTTCTGATACATGCTACAACATGCACAAACCTCAAAAAGTTACGTGAAAGAAGTCAGACACAAAAGGTCACATATTTTATGACTCCCTTTATATGACATGTCTGGAACAGGCAAATCCATAGAGACAGAGGGAGATTGGTGGCTGCCAGGGGGTGGGGGAGGGGCATGGCTGCTTAACATAAAGTTGCCCAGTAGTTTCAGACTGTTTTTGGGGTGGCTTGATGCAAACCGATTTGAACTATCCAGACACTTTATAGTCCCCAAAGCATATGAAATGATCTACATGGACCTGCTCAAATTAAAAAAAAAAAAAAAAGCTTTCTGATTAGTGATGGCTAATTTTGCTTTGCAAACTGAAGATGCGTGAAGCTGGAGAGGGAGGTGGTGAGGCTATGCTGGGAATATGGGCCCAATTCCACACTTACCTTCAGCAACTTCCAAAGGGCCTTGGGATTTGCGGAGCTCCTTTACTGTTTCCAAGAACTCTTTGCCCCCAGCCTTTTCCAAGGCCTTACCTGTGAAGGCGAACAAGACGCCATTGTGGTTGTTGTTTTCAATGTCATTAATTACACTATTTGACATACTTTTAGTAAGCCAGAAACAAACAAACAAGCCACGCTTAGAAAGTAGGAATCAAACTTTGCAACTGAAATCCTGGTTTGCCAGTGGTCACTGACGGCAGGGGTTTCTGGTTTCTGTCCAGCAGGACTTAGATTCTAGCAAACTCTTTTAAAAGACCTTTTTAGGGGGTGATTTGGCCATAAAGCAGTCTCATGACATGACTCCTGAAGATATATATATATTTTTAATTGAGGCTCCAGTGTTCTGTTCTCTGGGCTCAGAACATGTGTTGTGTTTGTTAAATTCAGTATCTTGATTTGATGGCAGCACCCCATACTGGGGGGTGTCTCACAGGCCCTCTTGTCATCTGCTCTAACCCTGGTTCCCAAGGCACCCTTGGGGATACAGTCCAGGCCCGAGGTGACCGATGGCTCAGCAGGAAGCTCTGGGTAGAGAGCTCTGGGGGTCCTATTCCCATCTCACCACCACCAATGTTTGTAAGTCCTTGGGATCAAAGAACAGACACAGGCCCAGGGGAGCCTGGGCCTTGGTTTTCAGTGGACAAATGCAGAGATTTGAGAGGCTAATTGCCAAGGACCTTTCTGTTAGGAGATCCCTTGAGTCTTTGATGGTAGGACAATTCCCTACTCAATATTTCAGGGTTATGCTGCTACAGAGACCAAGAGGAACCCCCAGGAGACGGCAGGACTCTATCTCTGGCCCAGTAGGAACCCAGCGTATGTGTCCCAGGGGATCCTCATGCCCCTGAGATGACGTGCGGGTGTTTTGTCCAGACAAGTATGACTGCCACTCTCAGGTGGGAGGTGAGGAATTTTCCCTTGTTGTACTTCCATCTTCTCCTGAATCTGGTGATTTGGATGTCCGGGGCAATTCTCAGCTTTCTCTCTTCATAGCTATTATTAGTTATTATTATTACTATTCAGTTCAGAGGCTTTCCTAGAGGCTGGGCGAGGGAGCCTCCCCACTCCTTACTCAAACACTCAAGTATATGTGGAGAGCCACAGTGCATTGTGCAGATCAATTAGGAAAAATGTCTATTACAATAGTCACTCTCTCCTGGGATGGGGATGGGGAGGGATTTCTTCATTAATGTGCTCGGGTTTCAATAGCACAATTTGGAAATGCCTCTAAGTCTCCTTTCTGGCCCTCAGACTCCTGGCCAGTTTTGATCTGCTAGGTCACAGAAGCCTGGAGGAGGCAGGTAATCAAAGCTGGTACCAAGTCCATGCTGAGAAGCAGGGGAAATAGGTCTAAGCAGCTTCTCTTTGCATTCAGGTCAGAGGCCAGATGGGAACATGTAATAGGCAACGAGGGCATCTAAGAATAAAGCAGCCTGGAGGGTTGATGAGGGGACTTTCTCTCTGTGGGGACTTTTTCATTCCAGTGAAGAAATGAAGAAGGAATGCTAGAATTAGCACTTCCCCACTTTGCAGCCCCTAACGAACAGACAAAGGTAGGCTAGGAGCATCTATAGGGGACAACCAGCCAGGCCTTACCTGCCTCCTGATGGAAGAACATTCCAACACTGACCAAGCAGTCTTGCTCAAAGTTTCTGAACCTCTTTTAAGCATCTACATCAACTAATAAATAAATAAAAGGAAAAAACAAAAACAAACAAAAAGCAAAACAAAACAAAACAAAAAACCCCCCAAAACCTATGGGTTATAAGAGACTTATCAACCAACTGCAATGTGTGGACTTAGTTGGATCCTGAATCAAATAAGCAAATAAAAAAAATTGACATTTATGATGCAGCTGGAATTTGAACACGGATGATATTAATTTTTGGTTTGATAATGGTATTATGGTTATGTTGTTAAAAAAGTAGCTTTCCCCATTTTGAAATATTCAGATAAAATGATATGATATCTGTGAGGATGTGGGTGGGGGCAGAGCTGAAAAAAACTTGGTCATGGGTTGATGATTATTGTAGCTGAGGGCCTAGGGTTTCATTACACTCCTCTGCTATTTGTGTGTATGCTTGATCTTTTTTGTAAGAGCATACAATGTTTTAAAAAGAGTAAATCAGGGCCTTATTTGCATGGGGTTAATGGTTTGGGTGATGGTAGTAGAGCAAGGAGTCATCACGGGAGAGACCCTTTCTAACAATACAGAAACAATAAAGAATATTACCTATGAAATGCTTATGAGCCCAGCACTGTGCTAAGCCCCATCCATGTGTTCTTTAATCTTCACCCCATGGGTCATGTACTATTGTTACCCTCATTGATAGGTGAGGAAACTGAGGTTCAGAGAGTTAAGAAACCTGCCTAAAGTCACACAGCTAGAAAGTGATCCGTAAAATCCAGGACACAGACCCAGGCTGACTCCAGAGCCTCCCTGAGGGGACCTGAGCTACAGTTTTTGCTCCAATACCGGAACTCTTTCTATTCTACCACTACCCTGCCGCTTAAAAAAAAAAAAGAAAGATCTTTATGGTTTTCCTGATATAAAAATGCAAACTATAGGAATGATAGATTAGGACAGTGCCACTTGTTTTGTTCATGAGAAGCTAGGACACACTTCAAAACAGAGCTCAAGATTAAGGCCACTAGGGGAGTCTTCCCACAGAGGTGTGGAGTTGGCAGTTGGTAGGCCCTGAGCCAGGTCTGAAAAGTGAAGAAGGAATTTTCACCATCTCTCTTTCTCTGCAAGAGAAGTCCTGTATCTCTGTAATGCATGTTTTTTCTTCCCCCCCCCCAGTGCTGTCCTACTTCCTTTACAGCAAAGCAAGTGACCTCTGATGCCAAGAGGAAAACATAAGTGAGCCTAGAAGCCTGGGGCCCCTGATGCTCTCATGTAGGGCTGAACTACTAGCAGTTGCCTCGAATTACCTATCTCCAAAGCAAGTCCTGCATCCCAGGACTTTCTTTGCTCACTTCACTCTTTCAATGCAGAGTTTAAGGCACTTGTTCTGTCTTGTGAAAATGGATAAGATGGTGACCATGTAGAACGCTATGATTTCGTGCCCTTGATAGCTTACCTTCCCACGCTCCTCTACCTAGCCTGGTAATCGCTCCCACCTTAAAGACAACCTAACTTTTCCCAGCTGTCTATTTCCTTTTTACCAATGGTGTTCTCAGTATTTAAGCTTAAAATATCCATGGAGTTTTACACAAAACATGTACAACAATGTTTAAAGCAGTACTACTCATTATAGTCTAAACTGGAAACGATACCCAAATACCACCAATGACAGAATGGGTCAACAAATTGTGGCATATTCCTACAGTGAAATACTATACAGCAAAAAGCAAAAAAAAAAAAAAAAAAAAAAAAAAAAAAAAAGAACTACAACCACACTCATCAATATGGGTGGATTTCACAAATATAAAGTTGAGCAAAAGGAGTCAGATACAAAAGAAGACATACTGCATGATTTCATTCATATAAAATCCAAAACAGATGACACCCATCTATGCTGTTAGAAGACAGAATATTGGGTACTCATGAATGGAATGGTGACTGGGAACAGGGAAGGTGGGAACTTCTGGGGTGCTGGTAAGGTTCTGCTTCATGATGAAGGTGCTTGTTACAAAGGTGTGTTCACTTGGAGAAAAAAATCACCAAGCTGTGCACTAATGATCTGTGTGTATATAACACTTCCATAAAAATTTCAAAAATATATGCAGATTTGAAACAGGATTAGTTATTCTCTAGTCATGCTGTTCAACTACATACAAAGGCAGAGTTTGACATGGTACCTACCCCAAGCAAGGGACATCCAGTTGACAATGACAAACTTCCTAAGAACTTGCACAAACAGTAGACTATACTATGACATCTCTACCAAAGTCTCAGGACCTTACCTATATCTTCCTTGAGGTCAATTTCGGCTGTGGTTGGGTGGACAATGCCCTCTACTCTCATAGAGCCAATATGGCTGATGTCACTCTGGGTCAAGGACAGCTGCATTAGGAAGAAAAGACGGAGAGTGTGGGAAAGATTAAATCCTATTAAACATCCTCATATTTTACATCATATCTGTTAATTCTCTCCATGATTTATACTGAATTGTCAACACAAAGGGCTGTACGTGGAGCAGCTGTCTCAAGTTTCTCAGGTGTCTGATTTTCAGTAGGCTTTTTTGAGCTCAGTGGATTTGATTTTCACTCTGAGGTTAGCAGCATGCAACAAATCTCCTCCTCTTCCAGGAGTAGAAATGGGACCTCACCTCCTCTTCTTTCCCCATAGCCTATGCTTTTGTTTCCTAATCTGGGTGGCCTTGGTGCTCGGTGACACATTCTTTGAGTGGCTCCTGCAAGGGAAGCCCAGGGCTTGCCTTCTCCTCTCCCTTCAGCTCCCTGCACTCTTCCCAGAGCAGCACCGACCTTTGGGCGAGGGACGCAAAGCTGATGACCTTGCTTGAAAGAAAGGATGGGCTCCAGGATCCCAACCTGCCTATGTCTAGCCACCTTGCCTTCTGGGGACTACATTGTTGGGGCTACACATGTGAAATGCTGCCCTATGTGCTCATAACTGAATGCAATGGAGGCATTCTCCATCATCTCCCCATGTGAACAAGGATTTTATGTTCCCCTAGATAAGTGAGAGAAAGCATCATGTAACTACAGATAGCCCCTACAGGGGACATGAATTCCACCTCTTTGCTTTCCTGCTTTCACTGGTGATGAATTAGGAACCTGCCACATTTACGCTCTTCTTATAACCTGCTCTTCCCAATTGCTTCAACAGAGGTTCCCGGTGTACTGTTGTCAGGCTGCAAACGTTCAGCTACCAGAGATATAACTGTTTCCTTGTGTGTCTTATTTTAGCCCCAGTTGACTTGACAGATAAATCGCCCGTTCCGTAAACTTTATGCTGTGGGAATGAATTATTTGCATGTCTGGCTGGGCTGCTGTTGTGCTGCTGAAGACCGTTCAACATATAGCCCTGTTTGTTTTCTTTCTGCAGCCGAGGAAGGCAAGCAGACTAAATTATTGGCAAATAATTCATCTCTAACACCAGGGATATTCAGGAAACGTATTTCTATTTTCTTCCTTTGACAAATTACATTGAGCCATGTAAGGTGGACCTCCCAAAGGCTGTTTGAGAAAGTTAACGATGCATATTAGGGTGGGCACAGACATAGCTCGGGCATGGGGAATTTCCAGCAAAACCAGCAATGCCATCCTACCTGCTGACCAGAAAGATGCTCTATGCTCACCTTTGGCTGACCAATATCAGCATGAACAATTCTCAGCACTAAAGAACTTGTTCACTCTGACAATGCAGACACTGCCCTCGCTCTTTAGCTAAAAAAGGAACAATTCAAGACCAGAGTGAAAATCAGATTGGGGAGTCAGGCATGAACGAGGCATCATTGCTTGTAAACCGCAGGTTCTAAAAATGCAATCGTGCTTTACAAAAGCACCGTGCAATTCTTTTTATTACCTTCTGCCCTAGAACAAGGCTCTTGGAAGACAGGATGGTGAATCCATCCCCTGGCCCATCTTCAGAGGTGGAATTTGAAGTACCTTCTTTATCGCTGTCCTTTGGTTTGGACTGTGGGTAGAAATCAGAAGGACAGATGGGAAATCATCCAGAAAAAGCCCAGCGTGGCTTGATTTAGCTCTTCTCATGGCCACCAACAACTTGGACATGAAAGGAAGTGGTTTAGGTGTTGTGTTCTGCTGTTCTCGGTGGAGGGAAGCAAGAGACAGCAATATGAGGGACAAAAAAGGGTGCTGCCAAAAATAAAGTGCGTTAAAGAATAATGTACCTGTCCTCACTCCAACCTGGTCACAGGTGTAATTCGTGCTCTTTTCCACACCTGCAGCTTATGCTGACAAGCATCAGAACCAAGCAGGGTCATTCTAGCACACTGCTCAACCCCCCTTCTCCCCGGGATGTCCCAGGGGCACCGTGGCAGTGCACTGAGCTCTTCCGTGTTGTCATGGAGGTCTGCGGAACGAAACTTTGACAACCTCTGAAGCAGTGCTGTCCCATTGGGCTTCCTGCAGTCATGGAAATGCCCTGCAACTGTACTCAGTGCGACTGAGCACTCGGCTGGTGCAACCGAGTAACTAATTTTAAATTTGATGTAGTTTTCATTCATTTAAATCCACATTGAAATAGCCACGTGTGGCTAGCAGTTACCGCACTGGACAGCATAGGAAAGTATTGCTCCACAAAAAGCATCTCTGAGTTATAGCTACTTAGCATATCAGGTTATCCAAAACACCTGAAATCCCATTGACTTAGGCACCTATCTAGGGGAGACTAGAGACGTTGTAGTGTGCAACATGGAGCTCTGGAGAAATGGAAAGTAGAGTTCCAGGTGATCCTCTCTCACCTAAGGTTTTGGTGGGGGCAGTGGAAGGAATCTGGAAATAGGAAAATCATGCTCGCTTTGGGTTTGGACATCTCTAGCAGCCCCGGCCTGATGATTTGAGCTCTAGTCTCAAGGGCCCTTTATTTTTCTTCACAGACATTCTTGTCATTTTCTCCCAGCACCCAGCTGTGGAGAATCCCCCGACCTTTAGCAATCTTGACTACGCCCTCATCTTTTGATCGTTCAACTTTCCTTCTGTTCTGAGCGTCCCTGGCTCAGATAACAACCTGGCTCACCTTTTTGGATGTTCGTGGTTTGGCAGCCTTGGATTTCTTGCCGCCCTTCTTGCCTGATGTGGCCTTTCTTCCTCTTTTCTCTGGGGGAGGGGAGAGGATAGTTTCCGACTTGCCTTTGGTCCCTCGCTTTTTGGCCAGCAGTTCAGGGTGAATTCTGGGCAGGACGCCTCCACTGGCGATGGTCACTCCTTTTAGCAGCTGAAGAGAGAAACACAGGCGCTCAGGCAGCAAGGGGCTTGCTGGTTCTGGATTTAATAGTTTTAACTGATCAAAACAAGGGTTAAGTCTGGTCTTTGCTTTCCCCAAAAAATTGCAAAATACACAGTTTAATTGGTGCTCCCTGTTTCACTTGGTGAGCACGTCCCTGTAGGTATCAAGGCCTCCTGTGATTTTGCACAGAAAGCAAAACAAGCAAAGCAAAATGAAAGGGTATAGAAGCTGAAACCAGTGATGTTGCCCAGGGCTCTGGAATTCCAGACATAACAGAGGATAAAGAGCTTCACATGGGGGGAGCACAGCTTGACAAAATGAGGTTCAAAGGTCAATGTTAGGGCTAGACCCAGTTAACAACAGAGCAGTGGTCTCCACACTCTTTTGATCATGCATTCCATTAGTAAAATATATTTAACCAGGTGCCTCTCAATTGCTATCTGTTTAACTAATCGGCATGTTCTTCTCTACGAATACATTCTGTACATCTTAAAGTGGCGTTACTCCAAGTGTGGTCTGCAACCAGGGCTGGTCCATAAACTGTTACCTGTCTGTGATGAAGTACAGAAATCATGAGAAGAGTTTAGAAACTTTTATCATAAATTGACAGTTATTGTGTATCTATTGGATCTAATAACAAGAAACTGTAGCTTGTATTTTTTTGTTTCTTTTATTTTTCTAGTAATTATTTTTTATTGTATTTTTGGAAATTATGAGTCCATGGTGGATTGGAAATAAGAATCACTTTACCACAGACAGTTTGAGAAATTGAGATTAAAAATTAAATACAAATAAAAATTCTTATACTTTAATCCTTGGGGGTGGGGAGGGGGTAAGTCACTCCACTTTGTAGTCAGTTCTAAAATATAAAGGGTCAGTCCTCATATGTGAAGAAGGGCTCTCCTGCCCTCATCAGAATAAACTGTCAACAAAATTTGTGTGAAGAAACTATGAAGAGAATAACACATGTGCACAGCACCGTCCCCAGCAACACACTGAGCTTGTTTTTAAAGAAAAGATGGTCTGGCCAGGCCCAGAATATATAATGGCATCTATTCCAGAGGCAATTTTATTTTGAGTCCGAATGATATGGATAGCAGAACTGGTCCTTCTCTTTTAGGATCTGATTTTTTTTTTTTTGGTATAAATGTGACTGGGAACTGTAGCAGGAATGATTTGTAGGCAGCTGAGCCCGCACGCAGGAGTGTGTTTGGAAAACCCACGCGGTGGCACGTACCAATGCCTCAGACATACCTGATTGAGCTCCTCGTCATTGGCCACTGCCAACAGGATGTGTCTTGGGGCTATCCGGGCCTTCTTGTTGTCCCTTGCAGCATTTCCAGCCAATTCTAGAATTTCCGCTGAAATTGCAAAGGGGAGTTAATAGGCAATGACAGAATGGGGTCTGAGCTGTCTAAAGCTTTTCTTTGGTAATGGTTTTTGAGTTTGATCCCGTTTATTCATTTGTGATTTTTATGTCTGGGCCTGGAAAGAAATCTAGAAAGCTGAAAAGAACTCAGGTCACAGACAAGTAAAATATTTTAGCAAGATCTGATATATGATCCTGTGACAAAGTCTTCTAGTTGTCCCTTGACATTAATTGCCCCCCATATTCCTGAGTATGCAGACCTCTGATTTTTTGCTGAGCCCATAACCATTGGAAGGATTGAAGGCAGTATTTCCCAACCTCCCTTGTTGATAAGTGTGGTCATGTGATTAAGTTCTGGCCAACGAAAGGCAAGTAGTTGTGTCGTATGGTACTTCTGGGAAGTGTCCATCCATGAAGCGATGGTGCCCTTCTTCCTTTTCTACTGGCCAACTGTGGACATGATGGCTGGAATTTGAGCAGCCATTTTTGACCAAGAGGCAGAAGTTGTGGATGACAGAGCAACAAGATAGAAGGAACGGGGGTCTCTTATGACTGTGGAGCCTCCTTACCAACTTGGACTGTTGTCTCCAGACTGCTTTTGTATGAGAGAGGAATAAACTCTCTTCTTCAAGCTACTGTCAGCAGTTAATCCTGACCAAAACAGAACCCTAACATAGGATCCGAGCTTCTTTCAGTGTACAGACTTATTAATACAAGAGCCATGTCTGAAGAGAACAGTCATGTAGGTAAAGTCTGTCTTTGGGACCCATTGGGACCCACTGGGACCTCCTTTTCCTCTTCACTTGATGCCCCAGAACCCTCTTGCCCTAAAGGAAAGTGAATGTGAAGAACTGACTTACATTATTGGATGAAGTAATGCTTAACCTGAGAAGTGAATTCCTAGTGGGGATATCTTGACACCTGAGAAGGAAGGTATGCTGGGACCCAGGGCTTTTCCACATATCCCTCAGGACCTAAGCATGGCTCCGAGTTTAACAAACATGTCATATGGTAAATGTGAAAGAACTGATAGAAAGGAATTTTCCTAAAACTACTTCACGTGCTATCAACATTTTTGAGTAAAAAAAAAAATCTTTTTTCATCTATAGAATTCGTTTATACCATCTGTAGGCTTTCCCCTTCCTCTTCTTTCTTATTTTGTTATTTTCCTTTCTTCCTCAATTTTAGAAGGATGCTCTGCTAAATCAAATTTGTCTGCCTTCAAAAGTATGAATATGAGTCTATAAAGAGAAATTTCTTCCCTTAGAAAGCGAGAGGCAATGTGCCAATGAGTTGTCTCACTAATACATAGGGGAAAAAGTATGTGTATGTGCAGGTGTGTATAAATTTGTTGTGTGTGTGATGTATGTGCACAGGCGTGTGTGTGTGTGCGCACAGGGGTATGTGTGTGTGTGATGGGGGATTTGCTGGTACAATGGCATAGATAATAAACGCTAAAATTAACAGGCGATTCTGTATGAGTCTTTATAATCAACCTAATTTCAAACAAAATAGCACATGAAATTGCCATCATTCATAAAATCTATGGCAATAAAATAAAAACTTGGCATAAATATGCCACATTAACTAAGTAAATGTAATTAACAAAAAATTAGAATAAAATAAGCATTACAGTTAAATATTTATATGGCATTTCCATAATGAAAAGTGCTAAATCACTGCAAATTCATCTCACAACACCCTTTCCAGCTTATTAAGCAATGAATATTGCGTTTACCAGCAATTAATTTACACAGTGGTCGTGTTTTCTGAATCAAAGATTGCAGCACTGTAGTTTGAGAAGTATGAGCATATTTGTTGGGACAGTGGGATGGAATATTTGAAATTAATGCCATATTAAATAATCTGGTTTGCTGCATTCAGACTGCTGCTGCCCAACCCTTTCTTTGTCTTAAAAAGTGTACTGATCAAAAAGGAATGTAGGGGCCGGCC